AGCAGTAAGACGGGTGATAAATAAATGCATGGGTTGTATGAGTACGAAATTCACATTGGATCAACAGATAATAGCACCTTTCTTGACTGTCGCGTTTTGCAAGGCTGGTTCTGTTTTTCCTTTATGTGATGGCTCTCTGAGAAAGAAGTGGAAAAACGAAGTATGGATGAATATTTTGTGTCCTCAAGCGCGTACCGTGCAACCAGAAATAGCATTAAGTTTGAGTACAGACGCTTTCATAATAGCTGTAATACGTTTCATGGGAAGAGAGAAACTCTAGAGGAAATCTACAGTGATGACGGAAGTAACTTAGTCGGGTCGACTTTTGAACGTCTAAATACTATGTATGAAAAAAAGCCCAGAATAAATGATTTTACAACCCAGAAGGGGATACATTGCCATTTCAACATTCCACTAGCTAGATATTGAGGCAGGGTCTGATAAAGGTTGATACGCTCAACTCGTAGGAATATGCTGTTCATTTCTAACAAACAAGTCTTATACAATGGTAGCTTATTAACCGATTTTGTGAAAAAAGGGATTTTAAGTAATCCCTCTCCATCGCTCCTGTGACACCGGCTCAAAGTCTGAATGAAAAGCGGATTTCTTGATGACCTTTTAATGCCGACTGGTTTCGTCTTTAGACATCCAAGGAAATTCTCCCACGAACTACACTATCACTGCCTTGACCTTAGTGGCAGACTATACGAGAATGAGAGCCGCAAACTATGGCTTAATGTATAAGGTAGTAGACGAATGCTGTAGTGGATATACTACGTACTGCATTCAGATGTTGTCGTCTAACCTGATTTAATAATTGCAAAACTTTGTTTCGTCGGTTACAGTAACCACTGATAATAACTGACGGCCAATCCAAACACAGTTATCACTAACGCGCGATTTTACTGAGAGCCTACGGATTTTCGTGATCCCATCGTGACCTCCTTATTCTGATACAGTGCCAACTCAAGCATCGATGACTAATCAACGTCCGAGTATGAATCAAATGCAACATCTACGAGTGAGTTAATTCATCGCCACACGAGCAGACGTGCCCCAATGGTTTTTGAATGCATCTGTTGGATTTAGATTGAGGTCGTCATCAGTGCAATTTCTATGCTACTAGAATAATCGACATGGTTTAGCACTGTAGACTTTCCATGATGTGATTATCTGATCCATAATATCTCACTTCGAATACGTATCATTACTTTCTTGCACCCGTTGCCCATCAAGAGGGATCGCAAGACACCCACCAGAATTTGCCATCGAACTCTGTCTGGGGCATTTCTTTTCGGTTCTTTCCAATTGATATTAATCGTTTTCATGTCCACTCCCATTTCCCGACTCAGTGTGTTCTCCAGCCTTCCTCTTCTCCGTTTCCACTTCAGAATTTAAGTTAGTGCTTGCCTCGTGATGAAGTTTCCTAGTAGGCTGATGCTGATGGTATCAGGCCAACAGACATTCAGTATCTTGCGTAGACAATTATTTATAAATACTAGTACTTTTTGTTGATGTTTACAGTAGTTCTCAAGGTTCTACAAGTCACACAATTGTCTGTACTAACTCGTCCTACTGTGATTATCAGTACTGTGATTTGTAAGAACCATTAAATAATGCACACAAGATGGTAATGGAATAATATATTTAATACAAAAGGAATAAATTTACAGAGCTATTATGTGTGCATGGCCGAGCCATACTGTATACATTATGTTTTCTTGTGTTCACCGTTGATGAGCTCAACCAAATGTACAACGGCTAATGTTAATCGTCTCAGTTGGTGTAAGATCAGCTACAAGATCGTGTGGATAGGATATGAACCCCCGTCGTTTTCAGTAAAAAAGATGGAATTAGACTTCTAAATATCTCAAAAACGAACTTTTAGATAGTTGATGGACATTGAAATCAGACCTAATTAGCCTAGATTGGTAAGAAAAGCTGAGTCGAAATAAACGGTAAATACGGAATATTCCACTTTAGTGCTTGACCTTGTTATTTCAGAATGACAATATGGTAATGCAAACAAAATACGTGTATAAACTACACAATCGTCAATATCATGAACGCAAGAGTTACTTTCAAAAAAACGTGCCAGAAAATCAGATTTTGATCGTTTGAGGACAAAGTGTTTCTCACCAAAGTTAACAGGAAGCGTCGAAATTGGAAAGAGTTAATGTCACTAGCTTCAAATGAAATCGTTTTTGTCACTCCGCTGATCCTCATATTTGCCAATAACCTCCCGGAGCTTGTCAGACAATCGATCTTTGTCCATGTGAGAAGATATCAAGTGTGGAAGCAATCAACGAGAGATCGAAAATAGGCCTAGTGCTGCTGGGAGTGAAAGTGTTAAACGTAAGTTTTAAATTCGAACCCCGGAAATATCACTTAATGACCTTTAGCTTATCAGAGAAAGAAATACTGCCTACTTTGTGCGTGCATATCAGCGTCCTAGCTTTCTGGTAGGATGTAACTAGAATCTTTAATCGACAAAAGCCAGAACAAGCTAAACTCAGCAAAAGTCTTCACCGCGCTCAAATTCACTCATAGGCGAAAACAAAAAGGCTCCACGTTTTTCTGAACACTGCCTAAAGCTCAAAACTCCCAACTGATTTCAGTACATCATCGCATAGGTATTGGATTTCGGTTTCAGAAAACCGAAACAGCGTGTCGACCAATTTTGAACGGTACTTCGCATCCCGTGTACCCTTCAAATACTTACCTCAAAGTGAGTAGTCTGCGTATACAGTTGTTTTAGGATATGTATTTAGCCTTATATATGTGCCATACATTTGTAACTTTAGGCTCAAGTGCGTCGAACTATTTCACTCGTGTTTGTGGTTGAATTTTAGACAAATTTCCGTTAACTCGTACCAGGCGTTGGTATTCATTTGACTTCATTTTTACTGTTGTAACGACTCCTGACAGTATCAGTGGTTGTATAAGTTGCACTGTGTTACTTTTGGCTTTTTAAGGCAAACGGATATTCGGAGATACTGATACTTTGGTTTCCAATACTTGTGTATTTTTGACCATCTATTCGTAAACATCGTAGATCCTAGACATTCGCAACGTTTAATGTAATTAAATATGTTATTCATGGTTCTGGAAAACCGGCTGAACTTTCCGAATACAGGGTGGTGCCAAAGATGAGGATTACTTGCTCTCCACCACATTACTGCGTGATTGTAAGCTCTACCAATAATGTCCTTTTTCCTTCATGGAGCAAGATTGCTATTAACCAAGGTGAAAAGTTACAAACCGAACGTCTGCCACGTAAAACGGGCTGGTAGATATGGTGTTCTTTTCAGTCCGTTGGAAATCCCTGATTCAAGACAAGTGTTGTTCATAGGCTTTAGTATATTGGGTAGAAAAGTAGGGTGTGATATGACTGAGATAAACCGCTACTTACAATGAGGATCCGTTTTTTGCTTAGCATTAGTAAGATGACTCATGAGTTTGTATCTTGTACTATAACAAATCGAAACTTGCTGCACAACCTAATAAGTCTGAATAAATTAAAATAGTCGGTACTTTACACTAGTTAACTAAGTTTACAGTAGATAAGCTCTCATCTGTGGGTTGTGTAGTCGATCTTTGCATTTATACTAACACCGCTTGGACTGATACGAATATCCGGACACTGACTTTCCATCGTTTCATAACAAATAGTGAGTGCAGGTACATGCTTTTTTAGTCTTGGATAAATACTTAGCGTTTCGTAAACACAAGGTATGTACCATATTAATGGCACTGACTGTCGATTAAATAAGTAAACGTTGGATATCGTGTTTCAAATCTTATGGTAAGACAAACTCGTACGCATATTCAGGGTCGAAAAGTTTCCGCCACCATCTTGGGTTTTCTCAAGTTGTACTTAAAGTATCATCAGACACAATTAAAACATGGTGAAGTCACACGATCATCCCTAACCTCACTGCTAGATTGGGATTATGAATAAAGGTACTTGTATGCCCTCATTCTGCCTGAATTATTTCTGTACGTTCTTCCAGATTTGAGTAAATTTTCCAACCACACTAACAGATAATCCCAGAGCACATTCTTGTACAAAATATGACGAAAATGCGGTAAAACAAATAGTAAATGCCTTTGTACCACTGTGCCTGGTATGAAGATACACTTAAAAAACGCTTTTTATTCTGGCTTACTTTGTAAATCTTCACTATAGAGTTCATATGACTTAAAAAGTTAGTGACTACGAAGAGTAGCTCTGTCTCTTAGTCACTATGTTTGATTTTACTCATCACAACCAACGTGATACATGAGTCCAGGTGGCATTATAGGATGCATAACCTTTTCAGTAGGTTCATGTTCACAAATCCACTAGTTCAGTTTTACGCTTGAGAAATAACCCTGATCTACATATACCTTATTCGGATTGGATCCTACTTGAGAAGTGCTGGGAATATTGAAAATTTAATCTTTATTGTAGTCTTGTATCTCACCCAACATCCGCACTCCACACTTAAAATTTGGTAGAGGAGACTTCTTGACGAACCCTATTTTGATGCTAAAACTTCAATCATCATCCTAGTCGATTCATTCTTTAAGTAGATTTTTCATTGATCTCAACTGATCAAACTAGGTATTGATGGAAATAAATGCTTAACATAATAGATTTTGTGGTCACGAAGTACTCGACGTTCGACTTATTCAAACTTGGTTTCATAACATAGCCTAAATAATTCATCTGCAAGTTCACCTTGCCGAGCCACATTTAGTATGAATTCGTGTGAAGCAATCATTCATAACTTTTGTAAATTATGGAATGAAATAATTTAGTATCTAGTTTTTGGGGACCTTGGCGATTTTCGAGGAAGTTCATAGACTATTAGAATCTCGGTCATTTCATTTATTCACTGTTTTTTCTCTAGATTACTCATTTAGTTGGCAACCTAACACTTGAAGCTGGGTTAACTGAACGGTGAAGTTGACCAATTCTTCACAATTACTTGGCTTATTACACTACAACCAGCATAATGGCGATGGATACGTCAAATAAGTCTTTGACATCATTACTGGAGAAGGTATGTGATGGTCTCATCGCAATTATTTATCTCAAATAGATGGTGGCAGCTGATACTGATTACCGATTTATGGCTATGAATGATCTTATCAATGAATTACAAGTGAACACCCTTCGTTTGGATCTCCAAAGTGAAAAGAGAGTAGGTGACAATCTATTCTTTTCACATTCCTTCTAGGTTGTTGGACTCATTCTTCGTCTTCTGAGGGATCCTAGTGGTGAAGTTCAAAGTCTTGCAGTAAAATCGTAGGTTTTTATTGACAAATCGTTGATAATATAAAATAGACTAGGTCCTTTAGCGACTAAAGTAAAAGAACAGCAGATTATTACCATCGTCAAAGATCTTGTTGGAACTATGGAAAAAGGAGGCGAAGGACAGCTTCGTAGCATTTGTAGTATTGGTAGGTTTCTGTACATGGATGATACTTCAACCAGTGTTATATTTTATACTGGATATTGATTAGTGTAATTAACTTCACTCAAGAAAATAGTTATTTCACCCTTATCATTTTGTATTAGATTGTAAAGAAATTTTCACCGATTCTCTATGTCAAATTAGCTGATTGTATTAAAGCCATATCACAGTTCATCTGTGTTACATGGTTTCTACCACTTTGTAAAGTTCCGAAAAATTGTCAGTTCATATGTTATAGACAATTTTTTCTAGTCAGCTGTTAGTAACAGGCCAAAACCTCGAGAAAATTGACTGGTATAACATGGTTGGAACAAAACTAGAGTATATCATTTATTTACTGTCTAGTTGGATCGTTTGTGGCGCATATACATTTGGTGCCTCCTTGTTCCAATGTTTGTGTGTTCAAATAAATAAATAAAACTAGTAGTGAAATAGCGTGCATAATCTAGGCACAATTTGTGAGAAGAGTACGAATTAAAGCGAGGGCGGATTTTTTCAGTTTTGGCCACTGTCGTTTCCTACAAAGGATCGCCCGCATCCAGTGCTAATACCATGTCAGTGATGCGGAGGTACGTCAATGTGTGTTCGTATATGGTGACTATAATTCAGTTGGTGTCACCATCTTGGAACACTGACTTCCGTGGTTTGGACACGTACTGCGGATGTCGTACCAGCGGATCCCACATTATTTCCCGACTCTGAGACCGGTTAGAAGAAGCGGAGAGGTGGTCAGTGTAAGGAATGGTGTTGTCATGATATGAAGGGAATCTGTACAAGACTGTATTTTGTTAGGCCTTCATGAGTACGTGGTTGGGATCTTAGAGATGGTGCAATACTATGTCCTTATATGCAATCTTTCTTTTGTATATTACCACCACTGAATTAACTACTTCTATGAATCCGGTGTTCATCTTGTTGTGCTAATGAGGTATGGCAACTTGGACTGATGCACATATGTGCCTGGTCCTACACTGTATCTGACTGACTGACCATATAAGTGAGAGTAACTTTTGTCTACTGAAGGATCCCATTCTGATTGTTTTTTCCTTAACTGAATCATTCCTCATTATTATGATTATCATTGTTATTGTTATTATTCACTCAGACTAATTTATTTTCTTTTTTTTCTATTATTATACTCGCCTTCCTTTATTTCTTCACAATCTCGCTTTTTATATGGTGCATACATATATTTGTGTTCCTTTGTACCAATGTCTTTGCTTGACTAAATAACTATGATTCACTCACGGTCTGAATAGGTCAGTGGTAAGGTTTCATGTTGCATGTTTGAAAAAAGTACCAACAGATAAAACGTGTTTACACTCTGATAAAGCATCAAAAAATCTAATAATTAAGCACTATAGTGTATCTCCGTGTCTTGTTTTCCTAAGTACTCGTTTTTTAACCAGCGGTTCACAGGATTTAAGCCTCATTGAACTAACCAAGGCTTAAGTAACCAAACAGTATAATTGGCCCTCACACTAGTCACTCCTGACACACATCTACATATAACTGCTAAGTTAGCAGGTGGAGTTGCTTCATGTGACACAAAGCACAGTACTGTGTGAAACTGAGCTACTAAGTTTTGTGTCTGAATACAAACATGATTCCTTTAGTCAATGATTAGATTATTATCTTCCATGTAGTTTACTGATGAGTTCATTTTTGTTACATTTTCTTATTTCAATAGTACTTCTCTATAAAGTACTTCCGGTCAGTCAATCAGTCATAATAACCATAGAGCCTGGCAAAAATATACATTAGCCCAAGTTACTATAAAACCTTACTACAACGAGATGAAATTAACAGTGAGTAACGAATGGGTCGAAATAATTTAGTTTCTGTGATGATGAGAAACGTTAGCCCAGAACGTTCCTTATGACTGACTGTATGGATCTTCAACTAATCAGCGTAAAGAAGGGACTTTCACTTCGTTGTCTCAAGACCAGACTCACTTCATCTTTTTTGACCTTGACAGTTAAGTGATGTCTGTAGCACCCGTATACTAGGAATAGTTTATAGTCAAAACATAAACATACAACTTTCTGAAATACTCCTTGTATTTTATATTGAAGAATATAATATCAGTATTTAGACAGCTTAATTTAGTGTTCATATTTATTTTACGTATGATTGTTATATCACTTCATAAACTATAGTTTGGATAACTCAGGTAGTATCACCAACTGTCATACAAAAAGCGTGACTAAAAGTGTAGTACACAAATCTGTACTTGATGAGCAAAAAACATTTTTAGACAATTAGGAACATTTCACCTCTTCTGGTCATTTATCTAATTTTGTCTAAAAAAATCCAATCGCTTTTTATTCGTTAATTTTTCTCCTCACTATATTCACAGGTCTCAAGACTGTTGTTAATGCTTTACCGAATGCAACTGATATGGTAGTAGTTCAATCAGCTGTTCGTGAAGCCATCTCTCCATTATTACATATGGTTATGTCACATCAAGATGATAATGTACGCGTTGAAGCTTGTGAAGTTTTAGCTGAAATTATTAATCAGTATGTGATTTATTGATTTATTGTAAATTGTGATTTATCATTTTTTTTATATCAATATAATTTTATCTTCATTCTATGTTTTACTTACCCGTATCTGACTGTTATATATATATTGTCATGTAAAATTGATTAGTTATATTTTTCTGTAATTAATAACTAATATAATCGTTAATTATTGTTATATACTGTTAATTTTAAGTGAACGAACTTTAGATTTCAAATAAATTTAGAAGCGTAGGGGGATTTGTGGACAAGTAGAATCACTAACGTTTCTTAGCTATATCATCATAGAAAACCTGAAAGCACTGAACAACGGCCTTAGAAACATTCATCTACCACCCCTTCATTAAAAATCTAACCCAGGACCTTCGGTTACGTATGCGGACGCTTAATATATCGGACGACTGAGCTGGTATCTTGTGGTGCACATTTGTAACTTCGATTAATTAACGATATTGTCCATCTTTTATTGCCTCCGGTGGATAACTGTCGCACACCCAACAGAGTTGGACTCTGCTCGTCACTATTATTTAGTCTTAACTATTGAAGATCAAAGTCTACTAGACAGCAAACTGTTCATTACCCTTATTATGTAAAAACAAACAATGCTCCATGGCATTCCGAATATACGATTGGGTTCTATCGGATACTTAGTCTGCTAAACCTCAGCAAATGTCGATTACAGGCTCATAGTTCGTAATATGTATTTAGAGACATGTTCACTGTTTTGCACAGGTTTTATTCATCCCATAATTTGCCTTGATGATGTATTGCTTTGTTGTTTTTAGTTTTGGAAATCTTTTGACAAGTTATCACTTGGACTTACTGGATTGCATGATCACTTGCCTTGGATGTCCACAAACTACTCTACGTAAACGTGCTATTCAAGCATTGGGTTATTTGTCATGGATTATACCACAGAAATATTTCAGTTCACTTGTTAGCTTCCTCCTTTTCCGTTTACAAATGAGTCCATTTTTAACATCAAAACCAATGGAGAAATTCGACGATCACTTGTCAAAGCTGATTACTGAAAATACATTGTTTCAACGACCACATTTATTGGAACAACTAAAACAAGTACCTTCTGTTGATGTTATGAAAACCTTACTTCAATGCTTCAATGTTGTTTCGTAAGTGTTTTAGTTCTTTTTATGATCTACTTTCTTAATTAGTAATCAATTAAATAGATGTTATTTCCAATACATTACTATTAACGTGTACAGCATACTTTGTACAATAAATCTTCTGATTACATAAATTGTTGACGAAATAGATATTATGAAATAGAATGGTTTAGGAAGTAATATCAGGTTTCAGGTAAGAATAACACTACTAGGTCAAACTAACTTAAAGAATTACTAGTTCACTCTTTTTTACGATTCAAAGAATCGAGTTATACATCCCCAAGCATGTCACTAACATGTTAAATCGCTGTCAAGTGACATGAAAATTATCACTTCGATTAATCGATTGTGTATGTTGTTTTATATACGATCCTTCTTCAACTTCATACATGTTATCTCTTGAGAATTTTGAATAACTGACTGGGGTAACAAAAATATCCCAGTACAATGGTAATTCAATTCAATGAGCAACACTGATAGAAATATCAATAGCAAATCAGTTGAATTAGTCACGAAGAAGATCTTAAAGTTTATTTCCACAGTCATGAAAAATAAAATATTTAGTATTCATTATTTAAGAAGCTGGTAACAGTCGGATGTTGTATTTTTTTTGGTATTTATCTGCAAGCGCTATCAGATAGGCATACAATAAATTGATTTCTGTAGACTGTTTGTAACTTGGTCAACAAATATGATTATATCACTCAATAATTTGTTTTTTTTTTCGGAGAATGAAATTCATGTGAACCGTTGACTGATTTGGAATTACGTTATCTTCCTTATTTACTTATCAATGTCTACCAATTCGTTGTTTGTTGCATGATTCAGAATAACAGTAAATGATTTGAGGATTTTAGTACTGTGTTCTACATTCGACTTAGTTCAAGTTTCTTACTTTCTACTAATTTTCCGACCAATCACATAGTAGACCTGCTCAACATCTATTAAAAGACTGGAATCAGTGCAATCCAGTGACTTTAACAGGTTTACTTTCATTACATTAAACCTATATCTAACACCTAATATAGCTTACTTGTCAACTCGACCAAGTACAGTTCATAAGTAATTAATAATCAAATGAATAAAGTCTCTTTATTATCTATCGTCCATTTTTTCAACCAAATAAATGAGTTAATGGTGATGTACTGGGTTCGAGTCCCTGGGTGAACATCAACTCTGGAATACGGGTGCATCCAGCTGAAGAGTCCCAAATAGAACGAAACATGCATCTTAGATTCCACTGCTGGCCACCACCCATCCTTGCATATAACGCTTGTGACTTAAGGCAATATCGCGGCGATTCACACAGTATGCACATATGTCAATAAAAGACTGATCAATCACAGTCCTAAACATCAGTAGGAAGATACAAACAAACAATACAAAATGAATTCAAACATACTTTTGTTCATATTTATGTAGTAAAATCAAGTTATCCCTTTTTTTCTTGCTAGAAGCAACAGTAAATCCTGATTTTAAAAATCTATTCTTTTCTATCTTGTTTTGGTTTCCATTAATATTTTCTATCTGTTTATTAATGATGTTTCACTAACAGTCGTCAACTTCAACGTTCACCTCATTGTATTCCATCAGTACTCCAACTACTCATATCGATTGCATACAGTTCAAATACAAATAATCCAGAACAGGATGATATTGTAGAGTTAGTTATTCAAGTATTGGAAACAATAATTCGACGTTGTCCTAGAGCAATTTCACCTTCTCTTCCTGAAGTAGGTTTCTCAAATTTTTGTGTTTGTGTGTGTGTGTGCTGACATATTCCCCCTTCATTTAAATATCGAAAATTGTCGGTAAGCATTTTTAAAAATTTAGGATGAGTGATATGACGAGCAAGAATTAAGCCTAACAGTCTGGGATTAATTCACTGGACAGTGAGTAGCGACCCATGAAATTGATTTCATCCTATCCCTTATGGTATCCAATTGTGTTTATTTTTCTGATAATAAACTTTACATAACCATGTTTTTCCTCACTGGATAAAAACTTAAGTAGATCCGGGAAGAATGGAAGGATGTAATCAAGTAGGAGTTATGTTGTCAGCTGACTGTTTCATTTTTATGGGTATGAAAAGTGAGATTTTGGCGAGACATTAATTTATGGGCGAACCAATTAAATTGACGATAGGACGATTTTAGCACGAAATTCATTCATTCATATGGATAAACAACATTTTACGATTATAACTGATACCAGTTCGTAATGAACACACGAATTCCTAACCCTACATTTTAACTCGTAATCTCAGTCATTATTCCTCACACTAGTTCATAAACCTCTTTTGACTCTAGTGAGGAGGCAAATTTTATCGAGGTTTCTTCAGCGTTCAGGGATGTAATAGCTGTAGCTTCAGAAAATTTGTGGAGAATTGAACTTGATACTTTCATCAGTCATCTTGAGAGTTTTCAAGGTGTCTATTAAATGTTTACTACTAGACATTTACATTTCTGCTGAGCTTAATGTTTCGTACCGGCTCTTTCTACACATATGCACGATTCTATCCACGCAGCCGGCAACATTATCAGAGTCAATTATCGACCTTTGGTCAGGCTAGCAAACACATTATTTGATACAAAATGATCGGTTTAACCATAGAACTGGTATCAAATTCATTTGAACAACGCACCCGAGATCCATTCGAGTCAAAAGACTATCTTGGTTACTCGTAAATACTTGCAAATGAATACATTCACAGTTTAAATCACGAAGCGACCTTAGCTAAACTTTTATTGAGAACCTAAAAGCACTTGTATGGGACTCCTCAGCAGTGCGCATCTACGTTTACACATTCGAAAATCAAATCCAGAACCTTCTGCCCCACGTGCGAACACTTAACCTTCAGATCACTGCGCCGGGATCCAACAATGTCTAACTTCAATCAATCCATGATTTTAGGCAACCCTTGATCCATCCCTTGCGTTAGATAGCTGTCTCACACCCGACACGGTTGAACTCCACTGGTTACGGCTTCTCACTGGAACTCCAGGAGTTATATAGTGAAGGTAGTCACTAATGAGCACATGACTGTTACTAATATGGGGGATTGATGGATATAGTTCGTGATTTCGACTATGAAAATACTGCAACCTCCACAGATCCCCCATACTCGTATAAATAGGAATAAATAATAAATGGTTCTTCAATAAGTTATCGTTAGCTAAGGTTAAGCTTAAATTGAAGTTGGTAAAACAACAACAACAGTATATTACAAAGCAGTCAAACTTAAGAATATGGGAAGTTCAAAATGGCTATTCAAGTAAGATGCGTTTTCACCTATTAGAGAATACCCAATTTGTCGATAATTCACTTGACCAGTAAGGCGCAGGGAAAAAGAGGGATAAATACTGGTTACTTGTAAGTAATATAGTTATTAAACAAGAATTACACAACTGGTCCTGTTCGCTATTATGTTTCTGTCCTTTGATGATTGTCCCTGAATCGTCATTATCTTTGAAGTTGTTTGTGTAGGAAAAGAGGGGCAAAAAATATACATCTTCTGGTGACTATGGTTCATTTAAGTTTTTTATATTCATTTTACTTTTATTTCCTTACCACTAAGTAGTGCCTCAGTGGTTAAGGCATTCGACTATCAAGCCTTTAAGTTATAAGTTCAAACTCCTACCCTCTTACATTGGTTTAGGCATACGAATAGTATAGAATGACTTTAAGCCAAGTACACAAATTTACACCTGGTAAATCAGTGTTATCAAGGATTTTTTATGCACAACCTTTATTTCTTAGGTAGACTAAAAGAATACTGTTTTATTTGTTGAGAAAATTATGGTTTTTCACAATAAAAGAGTAATTTAATCAAAGTAGATAGGGTCATTGAAGAAAGCAATAAAAATGATAAAGTAATCAATCGAGCAAACTCATGATTTGTCACTTGCTTTTTTTTATCATGTTGACAATACTGGAATATTGGATCTTGAGTGTTAAGAAGGAGTTATTGTCTTACATAATTTCTCATGATAAGCTATATAGTTTTGGGTTTTTTTTTTTTCAATTCGATTTTGTATTGGCAATTCTTCGCTGTTACTTATCTTTTATTCTTCCTTCGTTTTCCATTAAATTAGCTGATTAATTTACTATGTGAACGCTTGCAATACGATCCAAATTATGATTATGGTCTTGTTGAAGATGGAGATGATCAGTAGGTTTTTTTATTATAAATTATTATTTCTCACTCATCTTAACCCAAAGGGTGATGTTAGTAGCTTTTTAAAATGTTAGTGGATAATTTGAAACTTGATCATTCCCTATTATATTTCATTTAACATAAAATCTAGTACAACTGAGCACTTACTTTAAAATTTGCTTGCAGGCTGGAATACTGCTCGGGAGGCCACCCTGAGTTTTTGACCTAGAGGTCTAGTCCTTATGACAGTGAAGCAACGTTAAGTGATACTGTTTCATGATTGCCAGTGACCATGAATAAGTTTCATACGCCATCCGTTTCCTTAGGATTCTGGAGACCATTTACATCACTGATTTGAAATCAGGGTTTTCTAATTCCCCTAGGTGGCTGCTCGGTTTCCACAAACCTGGTTTGAAGAACTGGACGTTCTCACTGTGTCCTTTTAATTTAGTAAACAACGTTCCTATTGTGTAAAGGCAGTAAGTGGGGCTTTTCTGTCAGAGACACTGAATACATGGGAAAGTGCACTCCACACTCGACCATAATAGGGAATTTGGGATCCTTTTTTTCCAGAATATAATCATTCTCGCTGAATGAGGACCAAAATTTGTCTTCATCCGAAGAATCATCAAAACTGAAACACAACCAATAGTTTTGTAGGGAAATTAAGATATCCAACTATGACTTCTCTCACTAAGAAGGGGATATCTTTGTCTTTGCGCTTAATCGCTTCAGCACTGCTGCGAAATGGATCGTTCACAGTTTGACCGTTGAAATTCGATCAAAACAGGGAACAAAACCACTATGTTATATAAAACTAGGTTGTATAAGTCCTCCCAGTTTTTCATACAGTCATTTGAATCTCTTGTACGGTTCAGGAAGTGTAGCTTAGTACTTCAGATCATCTGATGGAGTCGTGGATGTACAATCTTAAGAAGTCATACATTAGGATGAGACAGCTCTTTATTACTTTTTAGTTTTCAGTGGCTGTCTAACTTAGCTTAGCGATGTAGTCCTTGAAATTGTGAAATTTTGACAATACATCTCGCCCCTGATAGTTAACGCCCCACTTCAAAGTTTAGTGTAGACCTTCTTAGGTTATCTTTAACTCTGAATAAATGGAACGGCAAAAAAGTCCATTCTGTAATAAATAATTTAATCTTTCCGTATATATATACAATTATTAGCTATGTATCTTTCCAATTAAACTCTTTCATTAGAATGGGCGTCAATAATAATGATGTCGATTTCGAAGATGATAATGCTGATGTTGATGCTGATGATGATGACGATGAAGATGGAGAATATTCCGATGATGAAGATGTATCATGGAAAGTTAGACGTGCTGCAGCGCGTGCTTTAGAGGCAATTATCTTAGTTTTCACTGAAATGACTGCTAATTTCTATGTATCTATTGCCCCTTTGTTGATAAAACAATTCAATGGTTAGTTTAAATATATACCTTTGTTAATTTCATGATATTTGAATCGAAATTTTTGATAAAAGTATAATGCACTAACGGCCTTGGGCAGGCTAATCAGGAAACACTTCCTTGTCACAAAACAATTAACAGTACAAAGCAATATTACAACAGTGAAATAGTCACTTCAATCTTAATAATCAACCCTTACATGTCAAATTATTCTTTGCAGTAAAAGATAAAAGTTACATCTTGCATATTAGGATTCTATCTAGTGTTATGATTCAGGGTTAATCATCCTATAGAGTTTTTATCACCAACTGAAATCATCTATAATGCAAAATGGTTAGGATTAAGTATTAAGAGCTATGATGGAGTTCTGAGATGGGTTTATAAATTAGGTTTATGGTTATCATCATGAACTGACATCACCCATGATGCAGTGCTTTGTCATTCTTTTGTTTACAAACTCAAGAAATTTGGGATTGAATTTAAAAGTAAGGATTAGAGTGGAAGAATATTATCTAGACGTACGAAGCGGTATTGACGAGGCATTGAATCATATCAAGTATTTTAATACATAATCTGCCTTAGGAGTTGATATGTTTTGTAATTTAGCTCAGGCACCGCCAAACATTTTAAGGACCAAAATATTGCCAATATAGGCAATATTGCTAACGAAGTATATATATATATATATATCAATCTATGATATCATTAACTGTTAAGCTTAGCTGTGACGATAGATGGATTCTACCTGCTTGTGGTCCACATGATGAACTTAACCAGTAGTTAAAGATGTTGGATGTCCTTATTCTATATTTTGAGTTCCAACATTATTTACCACCTTTCATTTCACGGATTCATTCATTCTTCAGGGATTATATACTGTCAATATAATGTTCTTTTTACTGCCACTAATGGTGGTACTTCACCTTCTACCCCTTCAGTATTCATCTTGATAATTTCATCTCTGTATGATGATGTGGTGTGACAACTTGATCTAATGCATATAAGTGCCAAGTTTTCCGTCACTTATTACTGACCAACTATTCCTCTTACTGAGATGTAAACGGCTAAGAAATCTCAATAATGTTTTTAATAACTAAAGTATTCCTAGCATTATCAACTTCCAAACCAGTAGGTTCAAAATATAAACGTGTATTTATTAAATATTATTTCCAAATATCAATTTCTTCGTCATAAGTAGTGTATTCCCTCCTCTATTTTCTTTCTAGAACGTGAAGAATCTGTACGTTTATCTATATTCTCATGCCTTAGTGCGTTGTTGCGTCAAACTCGACTAACATCAACTATTCATTTGAATACCACTATTACTAATGGATCTGTTGCTGTCAACCAACAGAATAGTCCAAGATCTTATGAAAGTACATTATTTGTATCTGAATCTACCTTGGAAGAGCTAAAACTGCATTTACAAGATCCTAATAGGTAAAAATATGTCTAATTAATTAAATAGCTTTATGTCATCCATGAATTCTCTTCCAAAACTTCCTACTGTTTTTTTCTTTTGTGTGAAAATTTTGTTTCGGATATATTGTAACTTATCCTATGAATATTAGATTATACCTACTCATCAAATAGTTCTTAGTTATTGTTGTCAAATAATGTTCGTTATAATATTGAGTTACTTGGTTTAGTATTAGATCAAATCATTCTATAATTGAAGACCGAAATTCTGATCTATCTTTCGTAAATACTTTCTTCGTTTATTGCATCTTAATATCGCCAAAGGATTTTTCCTCTAGAACCTTACATTCAATCCCTGATTAATTCTTTATATTCTATTGTGTAACTCAGCCAAGAAAGTTGATACATAGTGACAAATTACTATGCATTTGACAGTGTAGATATGAGAACATTATGGAAACTTCTTCAACACTATAGTGTACCTGAAAAGACTATCAATATCATACGGAATTCATACGACGGACTACACTGCAAAGTCGTGCATGGAGGACAGCTGACAGATGCATTTCACGCGAGGATCGGTGTCATACGAGGTTTCTTACTCTCCCCCTTTCTCTTCTGGTGGTTGGCTGGATTATGAAGACCCTCACATCTGAGGAAAAGCACAAACCTCTACCTAAAGTTTGTACTGATGATTGTGTTCAGAAGAACGAGGAGAGCTTCACGACCAAACTATCTAGCTCAGAGAACTTCTATTGACTATTAATGCTTACTAGCACGTAGATTATTATTATTATTATTGTCATTATTATTATTATTATTAAATAATCAGTTCAGTATTTCTCTGTATCATTTATTATTTCCCTTTATTTATTTGTCTTTCTTGTGAAGTGCTCAGTCACGATTACTTTCTCTGTTGCCGACATTGTATCGTGGCATTGAAAAGCAAACATCTCAATCGATAAGCAATAAAATGAAATCTCAAAATGCTAATCGAGTAAGTAAACTGTGTAATTAATTAAAATGGTTTTGATGAAGTTTGTGCATTAATTGTAGGCTATTTTTGTTTTTTTTTTTACTACGAACTATCATCGGCTACTTGAAGATCGAATAAAGTAGCTTAATACAAACTAGTGGCTTGAAGATATCAGCGATTCAAGTTACTTTTTCAACTGTTTAAGTGATCATCCTTTATGTGACCATAAAATGTTCTTGTATCTTTTTGAGATCAGTTAATTTTAAGCAAAGATAGATAGTGGCTAAAAGTGTAATCCAGGACGCGCGTTTCGTCCTATTTGGGACTCGTCAGCTGGATGTACCTGCATCGCAGAGTTGATGTTCACTCCGGGAGTCAAACGTCAACTCTGCGGTACGTCCAGCTGACGAGTCCCAAATAGGACGAAATGCGCGTCCTGGATTCCTCTGCTAGCTATTATCCATCTTTGCTTATAAAGCTTTTGACTTAAGGCTATATCGAGGTAATCCGCACACAATGCACATATCCCAACAAGAGACTGATCAATTGCAGTTTTAAATAACAATGGGAAGATACAAGTAAAACAACACCGAGTTAATTTTACTTAAGATGCTGTCATTGTCATTCTGAAAAGTGTAGTTCATACAAATTCCATGAAAATACGTAAGCTATTACAATTTCTTCAGTGTTTAACCTTTTATTTTCCTAACAATTTGTAGTGTGGTTCGATGAAATACTTACAGTGAGATCACCTATTTCAAAGAATGTAACAATTAAAATATTCTTATCCTCCTGATTTACAAACAGTTTCTATGAATGGTAAAACTATACTCTAATCTGACAACTCTGAACGTCTTATCATCTAATGGGAAAACAATATTTAGTTATAAAATAATCTACAATAAATAAGCAATGAGATTACAATGAATCAATATTTTTGACATGATAATTAATAGACCTTCAATATGTTGAAGTATTTACAATAGAAAATGGAAAAGGGTTAGCGATTAGTGATTAGAAGTAGAGTTAAGATTTATTGCTGCCAGTTAAGATTTGGCAAATACATTTTAGCCGTAATAGTAAATTCAAATATCAAAAACTGTCAAGTTACTCTTTAAATGTCAGAAATTATGTTAAAATGTTACTTACCAAGAGACTGAGAGGTCACAGAAACAACGTTTATGACAGCTCCTAAATGCTCTGGTACGGCTGAGGGTAGGGAGAGCCACGCGTATACAGGCTTTGCCAGGGAAGTCCTACTCACTGCCTTCTCACAAAGGGGTGTGTTTTACGAAACTGAGAGGACAAAAAGCGATTGTCCGTTCGAGTCTATAACTGGGTTGATGGACATGGAGGGTTGACCTAGGAGAGTTGGAAAACTCGGGTTCCAAACAAATAGTGCACATGGGCTCCAGGATCCTGAAAAAACAAATGATGTATGAACCCATTGACTTCAGTGGCTTGGAAATGTTCTACGCATGTCGTCCCAGAGAATTCCACGTCGTGCATTACTCGCCGACGCTGGGGCTGGTTGGAAAAAGCGGAGAGGTGGTCAGTGTATGACATGGTGTCGTGTTATGAAAGAAGGCTGCAAAGGACTGGCCTGTGTTGGTCCTTCACGACTCCCTAGCTGGGGTCCGAGAGATGGTGCAAAACAGTAGCTAAAGACGTTGTCAGATATGGCTCAGAATAGAAGCCATTGGCGATTCTGCTGTAACTTTCTTCATAAAAAGTGGTTGTATCTTCCTTAACTGAAAGAATTCTTCTGGTTGTACCTTTCCATTTCACCCATTACTGTTATTATTATTATTACACTACTTTACACTAATCTGTGGTCGTTATTGTTCTTTTTCCTTTTACGCTCCTTACCTTCTTTTTTCTCTTCGAATTTTCATTGTTTTGTGTGGCGCGTATATACATAGTGCCCCCTTGTACCAATATTTATGTGTTCAAATAAAAATAAATAAAACCATTGTTTGTTCACTGGCTATCATGGGACTGCATTTCCTGACGTTGCTCCACTGCCTTGTGGATTAAACTTTTAAGTCAAAGGCTTCAGGTATGGCCCCTTAAGAAAACCACCTACTTCTGTTTGGTCACCCGAACAGTATCACAGCCCCCACACAAACCAATGATAACTACTGGCCTCATTGTTATTGTGTGGCGCATATGTATTTGGTGCCCCGTTGTACCGATGTTTATGTGTTCAAATAAATGTATAAACAATACTCTGAATCATATGAAGTACGCTGAGTAATTAGGATTTCAGATAAAATTTGTATCAGAATTAAGGATTTTTTGTAGTTTAGTTTACATACCATCGTTTACATTCACAACATATATGTTTACCAAATTTCAGCATTTTTAGAACTAGGTACAGACCATCTGTATGTAGCTCTTAATGAAGTATGTGCTCTCCATTATTGTATTTTGAATTCTGCAAAATTATCCAGGATCCACTATCTTAAATCTGATTAGTTCGTCAGCATGGTATAGTTTTACTACTTTAATTCTAAATATCTGAAAGTTTTTAGTAGTATGCACTGCTGTACCATTCTATGGTTGGTATGGGGATTTTTATAAAGCCTGTTAAATTTTTGTAGTTTACATCACGGACTGACTCTAGTTAGACCGCCATTAAGAACTTGGAAGCACTAGACATCTGTTCTGTCGTAGTATGAAACTTCTCATCAATGTTCATCCACAACCTCACCATAGTGGATCAAACGCAGAACATTTTGTCTTGCGCTCGAACGATTAACATGTAGAATATATAACTGGAATCCAGTTGTGTTCATGTCCGAATTCAGTCAATCCACGATATTTCATAACCATTTTACATTACTTACTGTGGGTAACCATCTCACAGCCGATATGATTGATCTCTTCCAGTCACAGCTTTTCACTAACACCTTGGAAATTCACTTCTGGAAGTTATTCACTAGTGTAAGCACAGGATTTGGATTTAAACTTCGCGAATGATCTAGTTCTTCTATCTTATACATAGTAATAAATGCAGATTACAGTCATTGTAGGAGAAGCCTCTACAACAGAAGACTTCAACATACACAAGGGAAAGCAAGATCCTGAAATACAAGACAGCGATCACCAACCAAATCATACATGATGGAAAAGCTTTGGAATATGTGGAAAGTTTTACGTACCTGAGCAGCTTCATTGATAACCATGAGGGGTTTGGCACAGTTGTAAAGGCACGGATTAGCGAAACAAGCACATCATTTCAATTAGTCAACATCCGGAACTCAAAACAGTTGTCAAACAACATGAGAGCCATAATTTTCAATATAAGCGTCAAGCTAGTCAGTTCTATTGTACTGAGTTGAAACTTGGAGAACTACTACAACCATCATCTAAAAGGTACAAGTATTTATAAACGATTGTCTACGAAGATACCCAATGTCAGATAGCCGGATTCTATCAACAACAGTTCACTGTGGGGGAGAACATAGCAGCTTCCAGTCAAAGAGGAATTTAGGAATAGACGTTCGAAGTGGATAGGACATACATTACGGAAATCACCAGACTGCATCACGAGACAAGCTCTTACTTGGAATTCTGAAGGTAAAAGGTAAAGAGAAAGATTAGAGAATACATTGCGTCAAGAATTAGAAGTAAATATCGAAAGAACGAGTAGCAACTGGAAAGGAATCCCCAAGAGAGAATTCAGTCGCGAATTCTGGTGAGCGGCTTATGCTCTTCCACGAGGAGTAACAGGAGTAATTAAGTAAGCACAGTATTAGCAGTACAAGTTGACTAGTGTTTGTGATTTTTTTTTAGATTTTTATAGCTTACATTACTTGCTGATCTTCCTAATTATTGATTTTATTCATTCCCGCTTTTTAAAAAAATAAATAATATTTCCTTTTCCTTCCCTTCCTGCCCTCATACAAAGGTTTTATCGGTTTATCGACATACTGCGTTTATGTTGAATCGTGATTTGGCTCTAGCTTTACCAGGTCAATTAGGCGCTTATTTGAATAATATATTAATGATAATAAAAATTTCGTCTGAGTAAGTTTCGGTTTTTGTTATCATTATTATTATTATTATTAATTGTTTAATTATATCCTGCTTACGTTAATAGTACGTCATGTTCTTCACATTGTTCATTTAATCTCCGGCATGGTACTGTATCAACTCCGCATGGAGCCCCTCCAGGGCCTGCTGCCGGTCTCAAGCTCGGGTAAAGAAGGAGGGTTGGGCATGGGGTTAGCGACCCCATCCCATAGAAAACTAACTCGCTAAAACAACTCTGACCAGAAAAAATTATTCAAACCATTTGAACTCTGCCTAGGGAGTCAGAAGGTCTTAATTTAGAAGAGTTATAACACCTCATGATGAAAGCCGAGTTCCTTCGGAAGTTACGAGGCCGATGCCCATTCTGACAACCAGGGCAACCATTTATTTAGGTACATAGAATGTTCGTACAATGTGGGAGACTGGGATAGTCTTCCAAATTGCTGCAGAAATGAGGAGCTACAACCTGTCCAAACAAGCGCAAAATGCGCTTATAGGATGGGAATCTCATGGACCAAGGATCATCAAAGCCTCCTTCAAAACAAAGATAGGCTTCAGTCAATCGTCGAGAAGTGCCCAACAGAAGACTTGACCATTCTGATGGAAGATTTAAATGCCAAGGTTGAAACGGACAACACCGGATATGAAGACATTATGGTTCAATACGGACTGGGAGAAAGGAACGAAAGTGGTGAGAGATTTGCAAACCTATGTTCCTTCAATAAACTGGTCATAGGCGGAACCATATTCCCACATAAGCACATTCACAAAACCACATGGACTTCACCGGATCACACTACGCAAAACCAAATCGACTATATCTGCATCAACAAAACGTTCAGGAGGACTATAGAGGACGTGAGAACCAAGGGAGGAGCTGATATAGCATCAGATCATCACTTGCAGGCCGCCAAGATGAAATCGAAACTCAAGAAGCACTGGACAATGGGGCGGACAATATCACAAAAGTTTAATACAGCTTTTCTTCAGGATACTGACAAACTCAACAAATTCAAAATAGTCCTCAGCAACAAGTTCCAGGCCTTTCATGATCTACTCAATGGAGAAGGAACTACTGTGGAGAGCAACTGGAAGGGGATCAAAGAGGCAATCACTTGAACATGTCATAAGGTTCTGGGCCACAAGAAGCACCATCACAAGGAATGGATCACTGTTGATACACTGGACAAGATTCTAGAAAGGAGGAACAAGAAGGCAGCAATCAATACCAGTCGAACAAGAGCAGAAAAAGCCAAGGCACAAGCTGAATACACAGAAATAAACAAACAAGTGAAGAGGAGCATCAGAACCGAAAAACGTAAATATGTGGAAGATCTAGCAATGACGGCGGAAAAGGCTGCAAGAGAAGGAAACATGCAACAACTGTATGACATAACAAAGAAACTCTCTGGAAATCGCCGCAAACCAGAACGACCAGTGAAAAGCAAGGAAGGCGAGGTAATCACCAACATTGAAGAGCGACAAAACAGGTGGGTAGAACATTTCAAAGAACTCTTGAATCGACCAGCTCCACTGAACCCACCCAGCATCGAAGCAGCACCCACGGACCTCCCAATCAATGTTGGTCCACCAAAAATTGAAGAAATCAGCATGGCCACCAGACAAATCAAGAGTGGCAAAGTAGCAGGACCGGACAACATTCCAGCAGAGGCACTAAAAGCAGACGTAGCGGCAACTGCAAGGATACTTCACATTCTCTTCAATAAAATTTGGGATGAGGAACAAGTACCAAAAGACTGGAAAGAAGGACTTCTGATCAAAATACCGAAGAAAGGCGATCTCATCAACTGTGATAACTACAGGGGCATCACTCTTCTCTCAATACCGGGAAAAGTCTTCAACTGGGTATTGTTAAACAGGATGAAGGACTGCGTAGACGTCCAACTTCGTGACCAACAGGAAGGATTCCGTAAGGATAGATCGTGTACAGACCAAATCGCAACTCTACGGATCATTGTGGAACAATCAATTGAATGGAATTCATCACTCTACATCAACTTGATTTACTACGAGAGAGCACTTGATAGTGTGGACAAAACAACACTATGGAAACTTCTTCGATATCACGGCGTGCCTCAAAAGATAGTCATTATCATACAGAATTCATGTGATGGATTTAACTGCAAAATTATGCTTGGAGGACAGTTGACAAACTCGTTCGAAGTAAATAACGATGTCAGGCAAGGTTGCTTACTCTCACCCTTTCTCTTTCTCTCGGTGATCGACTGGATCATGAAGACGTCAACATCTGAAGGGAAGTACAGATACAGTGGACATCTAGGATGAAGCTGGACGATCTAGACTTCGCAGATGATCTGGCTCTTTTATCGCACACGTAACAACAAGTTCAGGAGAAGACAACCAGTGTAGCAGTAGCCTCAGCAGTAGTAGGTCTCATTAAACACTAAGGGAAAAGCAAGGTTCTCTGATACAACACAGCATGCAACAATCCAATCACAATTGACGGCGATTTGAAATGTGTAAAAAGCTTCACATATTTGGTCAGGATCATTGATGAACACGGTGGATCTGATGCCGATGTGAAGGCGCGGATCTGCAAAGCAAGAGAAGAATATCTACAATTGAAGGACATCTGGAACTCAAAACAACTGTCAATCAAAACCAAGATCAGGATTTTCAATACAAATATCAAGACACTTCTACTGTATGGGGAGGAAACCTGGAGAACCACGAGAGCCATCATGCAGAAGATACAGGTGTTTATTAACAGTTGTCTACGCAAAACACTTCGGATCCGTTGGCCAGACATTATCAGCGACAAACTGCTGTGGGAGATAATAAACCCGATTTTAGCGGAGGAAGAAGCAATGGAAGTGGATAGGACACACTTTGCGAAAAGCACCTAAGTGCGTCGCAAGACAAGCCCTCACATGGAATCCTCAAGGCCAAAGGAGAAGAGGAAGACCAAGGAAAACATTACGCCGGGAAATGGAGGTAGATATGAAAAAAATGAACAAGAATTGGATGGAACTAGAAAAGGAAGTCCAGGACAGAGTGAGTTAGAGAATCGTTATCGGCGGCCTTTGCTGCATTGGGGGTAACAGGCGTGAGCAAGTAAAGTATTGTACTGTTTCGATGATATTTTTGTTAGGAACACCGATCCAGACAAGCTCGATTTTTGCTGCTGTTACCTTAATGTCGTGGTCGAGTGTGGACAATTTTTATAACCCAGTCAATCCATGTTGGCTGAAATATTTGTTCCTTTATAAGGATTATGGGTTGCTACTTACAGAAGTGGATATGATATCTGTAAAGTGGTGTTAACACTTATAGCAATACTACTGTCTAACAGCAGAAGAACGGAGTTAAAAAAGGTCAACTAAGGTTAAATGTGAAAAGTTTACTAAACAGATATGATGCATCGAACTAAATCTTATTCTCTAAATTTTTTGCTTTGTTAGTTATACTGAATGCTTTTTTCGTTATGGTGTGATATATATTAGATTGATTTTTCACCTATTATAGTCTTATTGTACCATTATGCATTGTCAAACTTATTCAGCTCTGTTTCATGTAAAGTATGGAAGTGACGTCACTGTGTGTTGAAAAGTTCTACGTTTCTTCTTAAGTTAGAATGTACGATAACGCTTCTTTATTCAATTAGTTTTCAATCTGGTTAGGATTAAATTTATCTGTTCAACCAATGGATTGTTCTATCGTCTTTTGCAGCCTTTTATAACCGTCATTCATTGTGTTTAAAGTTCGAATACTAATCGAACCAAGCCAGGAGTTTCATCATAAAATTAACATCTTGATCTGATTGAAGGTCTCTGATGAATGCTAACCATTTAAACTGATCCTCCGTCAATGAACGGAACTTCAAGCGTTCTCAATCTTGATTAATGATATCTTCTGACATACCATAACCATCGATTTCACACTTAATCAAATTAAAACACTGTTATTGATTACCAAACAGTGAAGACGGTCAACTAGAATTGTCTGACAGATGAGCCACTTCCTCTTCGAAACTGAGCTTTCTAGGTGATTTCATCAGAAGAAGATAGCGTGACTTGCATGTTTATTTGTTATCAGCTTCTGAATCAACAAGAGAGTTATTGATATATCATTTAGCTTGCTGAATTCCGTTTTAAATTCATCTCTGCAAAGATTGAACTGAGTTTGAAAAGTATACACACATTATGAACGATAAATAAGTTCTGATAAGGTACTAGTAATTGGATCAGTCGACAGCGAGCTACAGAGTTAGAGGTTCATTCAACTACACTTGATCGTCTCATTGTGCCCGTTGTTGTTATAAAACTCTATTCCGCTAAGTTGACGTCGTGGATATGTACTTTCCTGTCGTCTCATTCTTTATCGTCTAGTGTCTTTGATCACTACTACTGCACTTCACTCGACTTGACATAAATATAAACAAAAGTGGGCTAGAAATGAAATGTATTCCACTAAGCCAAAATGATAATGTTCAGTAAGAAAATATTTATTTTTCGCAGGATTTACATCTGAAACATCCAATATCTTATCGACTTTTCCGCTAGCATTGGTTACTTGAAAATGTACCAATCAGTACGTTCAACCTTATATTTCATTCAGTGTTCTATCGTCACGGTTGTCTTGCTAACATAATAGTACACTGAACATTCACGACTTTCATTCCTTAATTGGTTTCTCACCAGTCTACAACTTTTAAATCATAAATAAATCTTAAGTCATGTATTATCACCATAGAGCTTGGCACCAATGTGCGTTTGTCCAAGTTACCATACCATACCAGCTCAATGAGACTGGAAGTTAACGAGACTAATAACAAAGGGATGGAAGTAATTTTGGTTGCATTTGGCAGCAGACCCCAAACACTTAGTTGTCATTTACCATCATGAGTGAGTACAACTGTCAATAATATTATAGACTGATACCTTGTTTGTTTTGCCTCCCTTAACTTTCTTCCAACTGAATCTTACATCATCCGAAATTATACATCGAGATAAACCATGGCTGAGCATATCTAATGCCTAGTTACCTAACCTCAACATAACTTATTTACTTGTTAAACGAAACACGAACAATACCTTGATGATGATACCTATAATAAAAAATATACGTTATTCACTAGTCTTCTGTAAAATTTAAAGGAATAAGTTTCAATAGTAAGTACTGGCTTAAATCTGGTTCAAGCAACAACTAACTGTTCTTTTGACATTAAAATTATGTAATATTTTACTCTTTAATGTTGTTATTAATATGGTTACTATATTTTAGTGATCCGAATACAAATCATACTGCAAAAATGGAAATGATTAATGTTCTTGTCCTTCTGTTGAGTACACATCCAGCTAGTTATTTTGAATCAAAACTTGATCTTCTCGTTCAAGTAGGTTGATGCAAAACATATAATTTTTTTCTTTAAAAAAATTCTGCCTAAATGTTTTTTCTTTAAAAAAAACTAGTTCCGGTAGTTGCTAGTAGTGAAATCTATGATGGACTGTTTTTTTTCCTAGTTAGGACTCGTCAGCTGAATGTACTTATGCCCTATTGTTGCTGTTCGCACTGAAACTTAAACTCAATATTTTTCTGTTTGAATACCGATGCGTTATCTATTGAGCTAGACCTGTTTTATTTCCATTTAAAGGCGAGACTATAATTTATGGGCCAACCAATCAGATATAAGATAATAGGTCTTGGATTTTGGTGCACAGTTCATTCACCCGTTTGTCTCAATAGCTTTTTGGCATTTTAGCTAATGTTAGTTCGTGATGAAAACCCTAAATCTATTTGCTAACCCGAACCATCAACTAAAAATCATAATCCTGATTTCTCACTGGTTTATAACCCTCATTTAGCTCTAGCAAGTAGGTGGACATTCTCAAGGTCATCATGACGTCTCTCGAAGATCGTACATAACTTATAGTCTCACCGCTTTGCAAATAAAAGTACACATCCATGGATAATAAACCCAATGAATACGATATTTTTTTTAACGATGTCGGACAATTTTGTGATTATTGGAGTAGGGATATTTATCTATACGTTTCAGAAGTTTGCTAGTGAAAAATTGAAGCTAATCAAATAGCTTATGAATCCTGCGGATTTTTGGCAGATGCAACTAGTCTTTATTTAGTCAAATGCAATATGGTATACACTGTTCTTGTCCTATTTTTGTTTCATTATTATTGACCTCTACTCAGGTGAAAGAAGAGTGACTGACTACATATACCGCTTCACTGGAAATTCACTTGTTGTTATCTGCCTGCTTTATACTCTTGTCGGTTAATTCTTCAATGGTGTCATTTCACAACATTGGTATCTTCTGTTCAGTCAATTTTTACATAACTGATAAGTCTAATCCATTGGGGTTTCCCCGCGTGGGTGCGATTACCATCCCCGTCGCCACTGATAAGTCTTGTTAATTTGAACGCTTTATTTGGTTCCTAAGCTATTCTGGTGACCCGCAATCCAGAACTACGCAGCGACCTGAACTCGAGAGAAAAGGCGCAAAATGAGCGAAAAACTTTTCTCCAAAGGTTCATTTTTCTACAGAAAAACATGGGTATTCATAGATGTTCACATTTGTTGAATCAACATCATATTTTGGCCAATCCGCTAAAAGACATATTATGCTACTGACCAATAGTAGCACGCCACGTTGACATTCTATAAAGCTCCACCATGTTCTGATTGGCTAGAACTCTTCGGCTCCTTTAGAGCCTCTGGATGCTCCGTTGCAGTTCTCGGAAAGCCGACTCAATAATAACCCTAGTAAATAACATTATTTATTTGAACTAATAGTGATTAGAAGAATTGGAAAGACAGTTATTGAACACAAAGAGACTTTAACACCTGAGTCGAGTTGAAATTGAATACAACATGTGTAAAACAGCGGATTCAAGATCATGACCGATGATGATATTCTGTTAGATTAATTGATTGATCATTTCACTTTCTTTTCGAGTCATATTCCTTTATTTCTAATCGTCTTTTTTCTTAACCATCATACTTAGTTCTACCAATTTGTTATTCATTTTGATCATTTTATCTCGTTTTGCTGATATTTTGTAATAACTTGAGCCGATGCATGTTTTTACCAGATTCTACATTGATGATGACTGATTCACTGATGGTGGTCGTAAAAGTCAAGCTAAACTAACTAACCTATAAAATTTTATCAATCTGAACTGGTTGATTACATTTTTCTGTATTTACTAAAGAATTTTACACTATTTTCTTTTCTCTCTATATTTCATCAGTTAACAGTACAATCGATTAACAATTCATTTTATCGTGTTGCTTTGGAAGGTCTGGATTTGTTACAACTTCTATGTACACATTTGAAAAGCTTAGGTAAATGATCTTTTGAATTTAATTATAATTTTATTTATGTAAAGCCTGTTAGAAAAAAAGGTTGATTGCCTTTTCTGTTTTGTTTGAACCCAAGAATCTCATCATCTGATTGACTTAAAAAGTGCTTTAGAACCAATAAGCTCTAGAGTCTTTGTTGTTGTACATTGATCGCTGTGCTATTTAATAAATAGAGTGTCACCAGTCCTACTGGTAATATAAGCGAACTAATCAATAGTTGGACTAGAGGAAAAACTACTGCTCCCCATAATAACAACCAGATCACATGGACCTCAATACCAATACAAGAAAACCTATTCATTTTTGTTTTCCATCACGTCACAAACCGTATCCATTTTTTTTTAATTATCTCACATGAATACGATTAATCTTACGTCCTCTGAAAATGAATTCATCTCACATGAAATCTGACTAGCTTTATTCTTCTTCTTCATATTGTCGATTGTGTTATTTTTCACAATTTTGTTTTAATTAATAATGAGCTGATAAGTTTTTACGGTTTCTCATTGTTTATAGGCGGTGAAAAATATGCTCAAGTTTTATTTACTCCACTTTTCAATCAATTAAAAGCTACCGATCGTGATCTTGAATTGAAGGAGAAAGCTATTACAGTGACGTAAGTTTCAAAAAAAACTATTTATAGTGTACATTTACTTCATTGAACGTGGGTTAGGATATGTGTTGTGTATCGCTAACCATCTCCTACCTTAATAAGCAGTGTTTACTTGTGTAGGATATAGCTAGGAGAATTTATTTATTTGAACACATAAATATTGGTGCAAAGGGCCACCGAATAAATATGCGCCACACAAGTCACTAGCAGAAGCCAAACTAAGACGTGATATCAAGTGATGAAGTCATTGAGCACTGGTCTGGTTTGTGTAGTTAAAGGCCGGGTTATAACAACAGTCAGTGGTTGATGGCTTTAGGTGACATGTCTTGGAATCGATTACAACATTGACCATGTGCATACTCTCTTTATTTCCCAATATTTCCTGGTGTAAGAGTAACATGGAAGAAAGTTAGCAACGCATGAACCAAAATATGGAATCATTCGATGAAGCCAGCGACATTTGAACTGAGCCATGTTACTAAGTGTACCTACCTGGTTGAAATCCACATGATTATCGTAACCAATAGTTAGTGACCGTAAATGACATTGCTCAAAATTGTTCGCAATGACTGAGGTTCATCCATTCTTTGTTTCCTGAATTTCTCATAGCTTTTTTATTTCACTAATTTATATATTCTCGAATGGTATCTTTGATGTTTAGTCTTTTCAGTCACCACTGATACTATTATCACCTCCACTATTGTGGGATTTTATCTGATAATTTCATCTCTCAGTGTTAACTAGGCATGGAAACTTAAACCGATGTACATATGTACCAGATTTCACGTTGTGACTGACTCTTTATCTTCCTCTCAATCATCAACAGTGGAATTTAGGACTCGCGTTTCGTCGTACTTCGGACTTTGTCTCTGAATATACCCAGAGTTGATATTCACTATGTGACTCAAACCCATTACCGTTCGCTTCAAGCACCATCGCGTTATCTATTTAGCTATTTAGTCCAGATAGTCGCTAGCTTGTGGAATCGGATGAAGTTTAATTCATTTTTATGTTGGTTGTTTGAATCTACACATTGAATTTTTCCGATTGGTCAATTGATTCAGTCCTAACCATCATTATTATGATTGTCATTATCTGAATGAGATGATTACTTTTCTCCTATTAATAATCATAACAGTTTTTCTCCTTGTAGTTTAATGTTTACAAGTTGAAATGAGTAATAAATGTGACTAACTGTACAGTCATTGTTTCGTTCAAGGTATTATCTGATTAGTTGATCTCAATGAAACAAACGTCATTTTATAATTAAATGGTTATTTTTCCTGGTATTTGGCAATCGTCGCCTTGTTGTTGACCTAAAATATTGTCTTCTAAGCCAGTTCAATCGGTTTTTGGATTAATCATTAATTAGTGACTAGAAACAGAAAGCTCTGTAAAACCTCTGACACTTATTTAATTAGTTATAATGATGAAAATAGACCATTTATGTTATTATTAGTACGGGGATTTGTGGAGTTTATAGTATGTTCACAGTTGAGTTCACGAGTCGATCTGAGCTAAGACACCATCGAAAACCTGGAAGCACTAAATGGCCGTTTCGCCCTGACATGGGACTCCTCAACAGTGTGCATCCACGATACTGTACGTGGGACTAGAACCCAAGACTTTTGGTCTCGCGCGTGACTCGTAAATTTCATTGTGATCATTTATACTATTAAAGAAGAATTAAAATCAATCCAATAAAGATAGTTTCCTATTTCAATGATATCATTTACTTCTACTGAAGCTGTATTTTTTAGTGATTCGATGACTACATTAATCTTTTGGAAAGATAAGGAACAGTAATTACATCACATTAATATGTTTGAAGATTTCAAATGTCACGTTTAAATGATGTAAAAATCTATGTAGGTCAAATTCAATTATCTATATCGTATCAGTCTCTGGTTATTTCTACTGGAATGCTTGATTGACTTGTGTTTGACACCAGAAAACCCTGAATCTGACGACTTTTAGTGAGAATACACAAAGACTGGTGATGTGGATTTATTTGACCCTGGAAATAAATCAAAATGATACATGTTTACACTCATTTATTTATTGATTTTACCCACATTTAATGATTACTTAATAATTATCACGTTTGATGGACATAAACAGAATTATTACGAAAATTCAAGCTACCGATTTCACACTGATATAAATCAATATTATGCTGGACAAAGGTTCACACTGAAAGTATTACAATGAGTAATCACTATATTAAATAAAAAGGAAGGTTTAAAGCATAATTTCATTCTTTTTTTATTTAGCCTTGTCATATCATCCTCTTCTCCTGACAATAGGTTCAACTTCTTGAATTAAACTATCATTATCAACTTGTGATATTTTTAATACAGAAATGATTTTCATTTCAGTGCTTTTACTGAAAATTTTCTAGCAGAATTTTCTCTGTTTTACTAAAACTCAACTGTAATCTAAGTACAATACATTCACTCTTCTCTCTCTCTCTCTCTCTCTCTCTATATATATATATATATATATATATATATATATATATACACCTGTTACTCCTATCGGAGGAGTCTAGGCCGCCCACTAGGTCTCTTCTTCGAACTTCGTCCTGGGCAGTCCTTTCTAGTTGTTATTCATTCTTTCGTTATCTGCTTCCATTTCCCGACGCAATGTGTTTCTACGCATGTATTTCGTCTAGGGTTACTGCCGATCCCAAGTCTGGGTAAAAAAGGAGGGTTGGGTAATGGGGTCAGCAACCCCTTCCCAAAGAAAACAACGTAGCTTAAAAACTCCAACCAGAAAAAAACTATTTTAAACCGTTTAGACCCTGCCGTAGGAGTTGAAGGATCTTCATTCAGAAGAATCATGACGTCTCATTGTGAAAGCCGAGATTCGTCGGAAGTCATGAGGTAGATACCCCAGAGCAACAAGTAATATAGATACATGGAATTTTCGGACAATATGGGAGACCGGGAGGGTCAATCAATTCTCTGCGGAAATGACGAGATACAACTTGGCGGTTCTCGGAGAGCGTTTGTCTGATGCTGTCAAAAGTAGCACGAAAATCACTTATAGGATGAGAATCCCATGGATCCAGGATCATCGAAGCTTCAATCAAAACAATGAAGGAGGGAATCACAATGAATGTTATTCAGTGCTATGCACCAACCAATGAAACAGTGAAGATATAAGAAAATAAGGTTTACGTATTTATATCTGGTTTTGATGATATTAATTTGCTCATTTATTTACCTCATACGTCGTCGAATCCTTTCAAGTATTCCGTCCAAAATCTGGAAATAATACTTACTGAACAATATAACAAGATAAGTAATAAGTTCGGTTTACAAACCTTTATTCATGATGTATTTAAAAATGTTTACACACGTTAAACTACGATGCAATCAAAAGTTCTTCCTTCAGTTGTAATATCTGGATGATTTACAGGAAAGGAACATACAATGAACTGAATAAGAACATGTAGATATGTTAAAATTAATCGCGATGGTAGGTGGTAAAATGAAATGAGAACACGAATAAAGTAGTCAGTCAGTCAGTAACAACGTAGAATTTCGTACGTACGTACACCGGTTCGAACTGCCATACCACATTAGCACAGAGATGCAGTTGTCCATTCAAATTCCGTAGTGGTAGAGGTAGTATGAGTATAAGCAGTAATCCGAAAGATTAGGGTTTGAAGATGTTATTCAAGGAGTACAATACAATGAAACAAATTTGGAAAGAGAAAAAAGGGACATGAAGAATTCGGAAGATTAGAATTTGGGAGAACACAAAGGGTGGATGCATCTCCGCCATTGCAAACGATTTCGAACCTTGTCATTCAGGGTCTCTAACCATCGGTTGCTATCATCTCGTGGTCCCCAACCAGCTAGTCTACACTTATCAACACGACTCAGTCCACTTGTCAGTGACTTCATGGATTTGTGCCATGTTTTAGTCTGGCCGCCCCCTAGCTTCCTCCTAACCTACTCCTACACCATAAAACATCGCACATCGGGGCCCCCAAATGCACTGGTATGACCGAGACTGGGGTGGGCCCGCCCTCCCCCCGAAATGCTCTCACACGGCCACGCGTATACAGCCTCTGAAAGGGAAGTCCTACTCACTGCCTTCTCGTGGCGGTGTTGTTTACAAAAAGGAGAGGACGGAAAGCGAATGTCCGGCGCTTTAACCGGTTTCCAAATCAATGGTGCACATGGGCTCCAGTATCCCGCGGGAACAAATGGCGTATGAACCAATCTTGGTCACTGGCTACCATGAGACTGCATCTCCTCACGATGCTCCACTGCCTTGTGGGTCAGATCTCTAGGTCAAGTGCTCGGGGTGTGGCCCCCTATGAAAACCACCTGTTTCGGTCTGGGCACTCGAGCAGTATCACAGCACACACACACACACACTCAAATTTGGTGTGGTGGATATATATTTGGTGCCCTCTCGTACCAATATTTATGTGTTGAAATAGATAAATAAATCGCACGTCAGGGCAGTCAGTGGTTGGGCATACGTAGCACGTGTCCCAGCCATCTAAAATGATGAAGTTTTTCTACTTCATAAATTGATTTACCACCCTTACCTAGTACCCGGTTCCCTAACAACTGAGTTACTTACTCGGTGGTTCCAGGATATACTAGCAATGCTTCGAAGACGCCTATGATCGAATAGTAGTAACCTACGAATATCCTCTACTCTTACCGGCCATGTTTCACTGCCATAAAGTAGGACGGAACGAACTGCTGCGCAGTAAACCCGTCCTTTGGTTGATAGACGGATATCTCGCCTACGCCATAAATGACGCAAGTTGGTAAGAGCTAGTCGAGCCGTCTGTATCCGTGCTGAGATTTCGTCACAGACCAGACCACAAGGGTTGATGAGACACCCAAGACAAGTTATAGACTTTTACACTCCTTTACACACGAAAATTGTTGATAGATTATTCAAAATATTTATGTAATACAACTAAAATAGTAAAAAGGATTAAACGTAAATATTTAGGAATATGAAATATTATGACCAGGAGGCATCGTACGCCATCCAAAAATTGGTTGATGATGACATAAGTTACTGAATATTAATAAGTATCATAGTGTAATTCACAAAAATAAATGAGCTATAATTATAAATGAAATCGACACATAATTTCTATCTAGGTGTAGTTTTTGAGGTTTTGAGGTGGTTAGTGTATGACATGGTGTTGTCATGGTATGAAGGGAATCTGTACAAGACTGTATTTTGTTGGTCCTTCATGAGTACGTGGTTGGGATCCTAGAGATGATGCAACACTGGCTTTAGATGTTACTATACATGTCTCGGAATAGAAGCCACTGGCGGTTTTGTTGTAACTTTCCTTTTCCATATAAGTGAGTGTAACTTTTGTTTACTGAAGGATTCCATTCTGATTGTTTTTTTAACCGAATCGTTCCTCACGTTCCTTTCTCTATTTGTATGGCGCATATATATTTTAGTGTCCCTTTGTACCATTGTTTACGTGTTCAAATAAATATAGAGATAAGTAAGGCCAGTTAGTTGAAAATGAATTTATGAATTTGAAAAAGAAATCATTTGAAATAAGAATGATGTAATAAACTGACGGTAGAATGATTATGTGAAGGAAAGATTTGATACTATTTCTTTTAGTTACATAATTCTAACTTTGATGGTTTTGGCTTCAGCCAATTTGACTGTCGATTGTTGATCCTGAAATATTTCAGTTTATTGACCAGATGCCCAATGTCACAGAGGTGTTTTGCAATACCACTGCGAAAAGTCTTTAATCCCATTGGCCTCAGGCTTCTTGAGATATGCTCTTTGAATCAAACGTGTACCTTTTTCAGTTCTATTAATTTAACTGCTTTGACAGGTATATGTAAATCTGTATAGTAAGTTGTCGGTAATACAAAAGGGGTACCTACGGATCTTTATTCGAATTAAAAAAACATATTGTTTTATACAAGATAATTAGCTTAGTTGTATGATGGTTAGTGTGATTTTTAATCATCTGTTTATTTTCGCTGGAGCATCGTCACCTTTCAGTCAATGTCGATTGAATATTGGTTTCTTTAGGGGTTTTGTTTTTACTTCTCCCTTCTTAATAAATTTTTTCGGATACCTATTGTTCTTTGGGTTTTAATTTTTCTACTGTAGCAGTAGTGCATATCGTCCTCCTGTACATAGGCCTATTTCTGAAATGATCGATAATTACTCTACATTAATTTGTAATTAAATTACACATTTCTTTGTTTTCCTGGAGGGTTTTATTGAATAAGACAATCATTAGTTATCTGTTGTACAGTGACTAAAATAAGATTGTCATTAATTTTTTTCTACAGTCGATAGATTTTTTGAAATTGAGGCTACAGTTCAGATTATTATATCATAATTACCATGTGCTCACTAGTGACTAGCTTCGTGAAGGAATTCTCGGAGCTCTAGTGAGAAGCTGTGACCAATGGAGCTGATCCGTGTCGGGTAAATACAGGTATCTACCTCAGTACAATGGAAGATGGTCGCGCAATTTCGTGGATTGGTTGAGGTTAGACATTAACACCGTTGGATGCCAACTCAGTGGTCTAGAGGCTAAGCGTTTGCGCCCGAGACTGAAGGCTGTGGGTTGGAATCCCACGAGCGGGATCGTGGATGCGCACTGCTGAGGGGTCCCACAATAGAACGGAACGGCCGTTTAGTACTTCCAGCTTTCCAATGGTGGTCTAACATCAATCGGTTCATGATCCCAATCAATATTATATCATCATTTGATCTGTTAATAAGCATACGTGATGACATAAACTTTTGGTTTATAATCAAGCTAGTTATGTTTTATTTGTAGAAGTACTTTATCCTTTTTTTTCCTCATTTCATATATATATTTCGTTTTATCAGTGTTATCCACTTTGTCATATAATACAGCTTTACCACTGTTTTCAGTTTATTGTTTTATGTTAATGTTTTATTTATTTATTTTGGTTTTTATTTGTAGTGCAGTATTTCTTTCACAAATCGGTTACATGGTTGAATCGAATATTAACGATTGTTTAGATTTGATATATCGACGTCTAACAAATGAATTAACTCGGTTGGCTGCAGTTCGTGCTATACAGATTATCGCTTCGTATGTTTTATGTACTGATTATTATTACTATTATTATTTTTTTGGAAAATAGAGACATTATGATAGTGTATAGTGAAGAGAGTAGTTGAAGCATTCCTATTCTTAACCGTTAAAGTTCAGGTGTCAACTCCGATCGGTGTGTTTCGATAAAGAGCTAGTTGACATGAGATCAAATCCACCAGAGAGCATCAGTTCTTTCAAGATTACTGGTGCACCCTGTTAACAAGTACCAAAGAACGCGAAATCTAGGTCCATAGTTTACTGTTGACTACCTCCAAGCACCAGCTTATAAAAACACCCGGATAGCTTAATAATGCTACTTACAACGCTACATTATAAACCTGATTCTATTTTTTAAAGCCTAAATCTCAACTCCTAAATATAAGGTGCATTCTGATTGGTAGAAAGTTGCCTTTACATTCTGAAGACCGCTCAAGTCAGTAGAAGTCAACAGTATACTATACACTCCAAGTATATTCATACTACTGTTTCTTTGATGTATAATAACTTTCCTTTTTAGTGTAAAACCACTAGGTGGTGTGATTGCATTGTGTGTTTCTTTGCATTTCAGATCACCTTTGCAATTGGATTTATCAAAATTTCTGGTAAGTTAGTGTGTGCAACATCTTCTATATAAAAGTTGTCGATTTTATTTTCTACTGTTATACTTTGTTTTGTATGTGAACGAAGATGCGATCATTATCGAGGTTTATGTAAGTCTTTAAACTGTAGACGAAATTTTTCTCCGTCAATAGGATGGTCTCCCTACTACTAATGTTTCCTACTACCTCCATCTCCATGAAATCACTGACTACTGGAATGTGTTATATAGGTAGATGCAGAATATATAATTGTAGCCTTCCCCATTATCTTAATTCATTACTTACTTACTCCTGTTACTCTTCGTAAAGGAACATAGACTGCTCACCACCACTATCCATCCAACCCTGTCTTGGACAATCCTTTCTACTTTTTTCCAGTTGTTATTCATCCTTTTCATATCTGCTTCTATTTCCCGACATTATGTATTCTTTAGCCTTCCTCTTTCCCGCTTCCCTTCAGGATTCCAAGTTAGGGCTTACCACGTGATACAGTTTGGTGATTTTCGTAATGTTGTCATATCCATTTCCATCATCTTTTTTTAATTTCCTCCTTAGCTGGAAGCTGGTTTCTCCTCTCCCACAGAAGACTGTTTCTGATGATATTCAGCCAATGGATGTTGAGTATCTTACATAGACAACCATTTATAAATACTTGTACCTTTTAGATGATGGTTGTATTAGTTCTCCAAGTTTCAACTCCGTACAGTAGAACTGTCTTGACGTTCGTATTAAGGATTCTGACTTTAATGTTGGTTGATAGACAGTTGTTTTGAGTTCCATATGTTCTTCAATTGTAGGAATGCAGTCCTTGCTTTGTCAATCCTCGCCTTTACATCTGCATCTAATCCTCCTTGTTCATCAATGATGCTTCCTAGTTACATGAAAGATTTCACATCTTCCAGAGTTTCGCCATCAAGAGTGATTGGATTGCTGTTCTCCTTGTTGTATTTGAGGACCTTGGTTTTCCCCTTGTGTATACTGAGGCCTACTGATGCAGAGACTGCTGCTACATTGGCTGTCTTTATCTGCATTTGTTCATGTGTATGCGATAGGAAGGCCAGGTCATCTGCGAAGTCCAAATCGTCTGATTGATTCTGAGTTGTTCATTGTATTCCGTGTTTTCCCTCAGATGTCGAGGTCTTCATAATCCAGTCGACCACCAGAAGAATGAGGAAGAGAGAGAGTAGACAGCTTTCCCTGACTCCGGTCCTTACTTGGAATGCATCTGTCAGCTGTCCTCCATGCATTACTTTGCACTGTAGTCCGTCGTATGAGTTCCGGATAATATTGACAATCTTCTCAGGAACTCCGTAGTGTCGAAGAAGTTTCCATAATGTCTTCCTATCTACACTGTCGAATGCCTTTTCATAATCAATGAAGTTGATGTACAGTGACGAGTTCCACTCAATTGATTGTTCGACGATGATCTGTAGTGTCGCAATTTGGTCTGTGCACGACCGATCCTTACGGAATCCAGCTTGTTGATCTCGAAGTTGGGCGTCTACTGCATCTTTCATCCGGTTCAGCAAAACTCTGTTAACGACTTTTCCTGGTACTGACAGTAGTGTGATTCCTCTGTAGTTTTCACATTTGCTCAGATCTCCTTTCTTTGGAATCTTGATGAGGTGTCCTTCTTTCCAGTCCATCGGCACTTGTTCCTCCTCCCAAATCTTTTTGAATAGAAGTTGAAGTATGTTTGTAGTTACTTCGATGGCTGACTTCAGTGCTTCAGCTGGTATAATGTCAGGTCCTGTTGCTTTCCCGCTCTTGATTTGTCTGATGGCCATTCTGATTTCTCCCGTCGTTGGTGGATTGAAATCTATAGGAAGATCTGTGTGTACTGCTTCGATGTCTGGTGGATTCGTTGGAGCCGGCCTATTCAGGAGTTCCTCGAAGTATTCTACCCATCTGTTCCGCTGTTGTTGAATTTCAGTGATTGGTCTGCCTTCTTTGTCTTTGACCGTTCTCTCTGGTTTATTGTATTTCCCTGATAGTTTCTTCGTTGTATCGTAAAGCTGTTTCATATTTCCTTCTCTTGCAGCTTTTTCCGCCGTCACTGCTAGTTCTTCCACGTATTTCTTCTTGTCGGCTCTAATGCTTTTCTTCACTTGTTTGTTTGCTTCTATGTATTCAGCTTGTGCTTGGACTTTCTCTGCTCGTGTCCGGCTGTTGTTAATTGCTGTCTTCTTGTTCTTACTTTCCTTGATCGTGTCCAGTGTTTCTATAGAGATCCATTCCTTATGACGATGCTTCTTGAGGCCCAGAACCTCCTGACACGTTGAAGTCAATGCTTCTTTGACACCTTCCCAGCTGTCCTCCATAGTAGCTTCTTTTTCCTTCAGTAGATCTTGTAAGGCTTGGAACCTGTTGTTGAGAGTTATCTTGAATTCATTGAGTTTGCCAGTATCTCGAAGGAAGGCTGTATTGAACCTTTGTAGTGCTGTTTGTCCAGTTGTCCAGTGTTTCTTTAGCTTCATTTTCTTAGTGGCCACCGCCAGGTGGTGATCTGAAGCTACGTCAGCTCCTCTCCTGCTTCTCACATCTTCCATTGTCCTTCGGAAATGTTTATTGATGGAAATATGATCTATCTGGTTCTCTGTGGTGTGATCCGGTGTGACGTATGTAGCATTGTGTATACATTTGTGTGGAAATATTGTACCGCCTATAATCAATTTGTTAGCGTTTTTTAGCGAGTTAGTTTTCTATGGAATGGGGTCGCTAACCCTATGCCAAACCCTCCTCCTTCACCCGGGCTTGGGACCGGCAGTAACTCTAGAGGAGTTTCAGGCGTAGTTATCTTAATTCATGGTTTGATATTTATGTATTTAAACACATAATCATTGGTACAAAGGCATACGGAAATATATGTGGGCAACACAAAAGTAGTGTTAAGGCTGTGATACTTCCCGGGCGCCTAAAGCGAAGCAGGTGGCTTTTTTAAGAGGCCATACCGCGAGCCTTTTACCTAGAGATCTAATCCTCAAAGCAGTGGAGCAACATTAGGAGATTCAGTCTCATGGTAACCGGTTACCAACAACAGGCTTGTACGCCATTTGTTCCCTAAGGATCTTGAAGCCAGTGTGCACCATTGGTTTAGAATCAGGGTTTTCTGACACCCCTAGGTGGGTCGTCCATCGTATTTATCAACTCGATCTAATTCTCCACCTGATATTCGCTTTTCGTCCTCTCAATTGTGTAAAAAAACACCTAGGTAAGACAGTGACTAGGACTTCCCTACCAGTGGCTGTATCCTCGTGGCCATGTCAGCATTTCGAGAGGGATGGCTGACTATCCACACCATCGGCCGTACCACAAATTCATTCTTTCTTCTCTAATCATATCGTCTTTGTTTAACCTTGTCCTACTGTTTCTACAATTCTAGGGAACTCATTGTATTGATATAGTATGTGACAACTTGTAATGATACAGATACACCTATACCCAATTCTTCTATGTTGTGTATAACTTGCTCACTTACCCAGATCGATTCAGTTTATATCATCATATACTAGTCTATTGATTATGTATCTATAAATTTAACTTCTCACTAACTCGATTTTCACTTTTGTTTGTTTTTTCTTCTTATTTGTTTTACGTGATTGTTATCATTTTAGCCTGGTTCATCGCATGAATTAGGAACATTTTTATCAAAAAATGATCGTAATTTGCGTATGATAACACTTCGTTGTTTATATACAATTTTATTAAAATATCCTAATAGTTTGGATGATAATTGTATAATGACTATATTGAATTTAATGCCAAAATTATTAATTACCGAACATGATTTACAAACAACACAAGTAAGTGAATAGTAAAAATACATATTCTTTCTTCTGATATGTTTTGTAATAGAATATAACTCTCCTACTGGATGAATACTTACTCCTCAATAACTAACTGTATATACTTCATAGCGTAATTTTATTGTCAGTCAGCAACAACGTAAGACCAGGCACATATATGCATAGGTCCAAGTTTCCATATCTTATTAGCACAACAAGATGAACACCGGATTCATAGAAGTGGTTAATTCAATGGTGGTAATATATAAAAGAAAGATTGCATATAAGAACATAATACAGAAAGAAAGAATTCGTTAGTAGGAAGAAAGATATGAAGCGATTTTAATCTCACCGTTTAACGGAATACTAGGAATGTATACACCGACGCCATTGTAATCGATTCTGAACCATGTCACCAAGAGTCTCCAACCATTGGTTACGATAGTCACGCGGACCCCAACCAAGTAGTCTGCATCTACCAACATGGCTCAGATTAGAAGTTAGTGACTTCAAGCACTGGTGCCACGTTATGGTTTGGACACCCCTAACTTTCTTCCAACCGTCCCTAACACCAGTTAGCACTGCACCTCGTGGTAATCGGTGTTCAGGCATACGTAACACGTGGGCCTACCATCTCAGTCGATGAAGATTCACAACCTCATCAACTGATTTACCATCATCATTCCCTAATAACTTGTATCTAACCTCACTATGATTTACTCGGTGATCCCAACAGATGCGAGCAATATTTCTAAGATATCTGTGACCAAATGCTAGTAACTTACGAGTATCTTTTACTCTTAATGGCCACGTTTCGCAGCCGTAAAGTAGAACAGAACGAAGCGCCCTACAGTATACTCGTCCTTTTATTGATAGACGGACACGTCGCCTTCGCCATAAGTGACGTAAGTCGGTAAAAGCCAAGTGAGCTTTGCGAATCCGTGCTGAGATTTCGTCAGACACCAACCCATTAGGACTGACCAGACTTCCAAGATAAGTAAAGTTTTCGACGCGTTCGACTACTTTGCCCCCTATCCTTAGTTCAGGTGTAGACGCAGACCAGTCTTGAAGCAACAACTTGCATTTAAAGGGAGAGAAGCGCATCCCAAACATTCTGGCATTGTTGCTCAGTGCTATGAAAAGACCCTGCACTTTATCAGCGTCTCCACCAAACAGGACTATATCATCTGCGTATTCTAAGTCGATAAGTGGACCTCCCGGAAGGAGATTAATGCCCGAGAATTCAGTCGACGAGAACGTTATTTCCATCAGTAGGTCTATGATGAGTAATTTTATTGTGTAGTCACAAATTCACTTGATAACATAATATTAAAAGTTTCATACGAAATATTTTGAGATTAGGATATTTAATATATACATGTTAACAGATCAGATGTGTAAAGTCTAAAAGGTGTAAGAAGGTTGTGTGTATGTTGAATTTATATAGTTCATATCATTCAATATGATAAATGGGTAAAAAATGGACATACACACGTGTCTTGCTTTGTCCCCTCTTAAAGTAGTGTAAGTTGTGCTAATGAGGTGTGGCAACTTGAGCTGACGGTTATATATGCCTGATCCTACGTTGTGGCCAACTGACTGACGAAAGTATTTTAAATTTAGATGTGTATATCCTCTATAGTCTCCAAATGGATACTATACGGCTGCTACACAGTAGGAACTTGTACCAATCGTGATTAGTACTTTTTAACTGGAAAATTCCAGCCTGGTTGCTGAATTATTTACAACGAGTAAGCTAGTAAATTTTCCTTTGCATACCCATTTATGGTTGTGTATATTCTTTCTCCGATATACTTGCTGTCAATAAAAACTCGGTTAAAAATCGCAAGCTGAATCAATCTTCATCAGAAACGAGTGTTTCTGATAAATGTCTCTTGATATTTTACCAACGCTGTTTTCGTGCTAAGAAACCATTTAAACCAAACAGAATATTTTTTCAAAGCTGGACAATCCACCATATCTTGATGGAGTTTTGTTCTCTGAGCTGGAGAACAGAGAACGGAACTATCCAAATCATACACCTGACTGACACATCTGATATGGTTCTGCTAAATTGGTAACGCCTTCTCGCTAGAAGTCTGTGAATTTTCTCTTGAAATCAGTCATTGATTGTTATGTAAACTAATAGATATCAGCTCAATGGTCTAGATGCTTAAGCATTCTCCGGAAGACCTGAAAGTCGCTGATGTGTAGTGTTGTGGAATCTTGTACTAAGATGAAATAGTTGTCCAGTGATTTCTGATTTTGATGGTTGTTTAATTAAGATTAGTCGATAATATAAACTTTCATTATCAATTCGCCTTTTTGTCTATTGTATAGGCAGAAATATTGATGGATTCGTAGTTAAAATAGATACTTTCAACTTTACTATGTTCCACCAGTTTTATAAACATACTGCTTTGTCCGATTGGGTTGGACATGTTTGCTTGAGATATAAAAAACATTTCACTTTCCAAAAATCGATCAATTTTGTCAATCCCTTTTTTCGTTTGTTCCAGCTCGCTCTTCACCTTACCTCCTTATTCTTGGAATCACCTAATCCTTTAGCTAGTCAAGTTTTTCAGATTGTTATACAAGAACCATTTCTCGAATGTCTCATCAATTTAGCACATTCCCCATTATTACGTGGTCAAGCTTTGGATGGAATGCTTCGTTTAATGCGTGCTTTTGGCCATCTTAAGAAAACAGATCCAAATGGCCGACAACAGTTGACGGTAAATTTATTTTGATATTTGTTTCAAAGTGATACTCGTTTATGTTGGCACCACTAAGTAAGGAATACTGGTTGAGCGCAGGTTACTAGGTAAATGCTACAAATCAGTTGATAGGATTATAAATTTTTACTAAATTATCTGTCGAAATTTATATTTTGATATTCCTTGTATCAACCATCAGACACGAAGTACTTGTAAATTAATTATTGTGACGGAGCGAATAGTGAAGGGGTGGTAACCTTCAGGACATTTCTTGTGAACTACATTTAAAAATATTTTTATTGTATAACTACTAATTAACTTGACTACTATGTTTCTATGTTCCATTTGATCCATTGACTATTACCATACATCTTATTATCATTTCTAATTTATTGTTAATCAGTTATATACAGGTTACCTTGTTTCAGTGTTACTTTCGACGTGTTTGTATCTAACCATGGTTTTCTATTCTATGGTGTGATTTGACCCGGTATCCGCCTATAAATCCGAGATAGTTCCTGTGCTACGTGGATGAAAATAGATAGAACCTTGTATAAAACAGATGGAATGTTACCAACAATCGAATTCAAGATACATGTTTCATCTTATTCGGGACTCGTTCGCTGAATATGCCACCATCCCAGAGTTGTTAATTGGATAACGCGTTTACATAGGAAGGAAATGGTACTGGTTTCAAATGCCGAAGTGAACGCCAACTATGGAATGTGACAGGTACACCCTGCTGATGAGTCACAAATAGGACGAAACGCGTGTCCTGGATTTCATTGCTGGCCACACTACACCTATTCTGTGTAAACCTGTGTTATATTGACTACATAGAGGCAATCCGCATAGGATGCACACATCTCAACTAATATTTATCGAAGTTCATTTATGATATCAACAACAGTATAGTCAAAACTAATACAAATCTTATTAATACAAGCTTTTCGACCGTCTTTTTCTTGTGGGAATGGGGGGGTCCAATGGGAGTGAAGTGTGCATTAGCCCTAGGTCAAGGTTATTCGGGACGCATCATTGGTTGAAATTAAAGAATAACGCAGAAACTCATTAAGTTCATTTACTGTCGAAGGGTCCTTGGAATTTTTTAATAAACGGAATACACCCATTATGACATTAAATAAGAAAGATTGGTTCAGCAAAGAGTTCCCTTTTCGGCGAATTCATATTCAAAGCTGTACAATCGCAAATATGTATACTTATTTTTACAGGGTGATAATAATACTGATAATAAACTTCTGTTATATATGGTGAGAGTGAGGTTAAATAAACAAAGGTATTAGAAAAAAATTTTAAAACAAGGAAAATTTAATAAAATGTTGAAACAGAGATGAAATGTAATCGGAATGATCGTGGGAATAAAAACAAACCGGTTGGGGGTAGAAGATTTGAAGGGAAGATGGAAGGTGAAGCAGGTGGCTGTAAGGGAACAAGAGTATAAAGAAAGAGAAAAATGTTTTTTAATACATTAAGACCATGGTAGAAGAAAAGGTTGTACCAGTCTCTTTTGTACACATAATTCTTGTTTTTCAAAATGTATGGCTATTACCTCGGCAATGCAAAGAAGATGCAGTCTCATTGTCCTAGGAAGGCTTCTACTTACCTTGTAGATGACTTTGAACGCAGAGTTTGTCTTGATTGAGTGACCTGTGTTCACAACGTGTTCGATTATAGAACTTCTTATTGAGCCGTTGCCTCCTCTTTTTAGCCACGCCGGACAATGTTCTTGAATTCTTTTGGATAAAGTGCGCATCGAACGACCTATATACCTAGCTCCACAAGAGCAGGTAAATTGGTAAATGCACATTGAGTTGGTCAGATGCGATAATTTATCTTTCAGATTATTGGTGAACAGTGATCGGTTGGAGAATAATATTCGCAATGTTGCTGCGAAGAATGTTCTTTTTAAAGAATCCGAAATTCTCCTCTTTAAGATATATACGTCTCTGTCACCTTTTCTACTGTAATTGTTTGTGGTTTCGGCATTTTCAGCTTCATGTTCTTATCAATGAATGTAGGAGGATATCCGTTTTTGATAAGAATCTAGCCACAAGAATACGAAGAATCTGTAGCCCCGAGGTCGTAGAGGAAGAATCGAGCCTTTTCAAATCTTCTACCCCCAACCGGTTTGTTTTTATTCCCACGATCATTCCGATTACACTTCATCTCTGTTTCAACATTTTATTAAATTTTCCTTGTTTTAAAATTTTTTTTCTAATACCTTTGTTTATTTAACCTCACTCTCACCATATATAACAGAAGTTTATTATCAGTATTATTATCACCCTGTAAAAATAAGTATACATATTTGCGATTGTACAGCTTTGAATATGAATTCGCCGAAAAGGGAACTCTTTGCTGAACCAATCCTTCTTTCTTATTTAAAATTGAAGACAATAAACTATATACGTAATAGCATACGTGGAGAGTAGTGAAATTCTGGTTGCTAAATCTAGAGGGATATCGACTATTATGTCTCAAAAATAACGTTAACATTTTGTTCTTGATGAACATTTTGACCAATGTGTTTTTTTTCGCCTGTTTGGGTAATTTTGTTGTTATTACCTAAACTTCTTTTTTCATTTATTCACATTACATACAGCTCTTTTTATCGCGTTTACTTGATCCCATTGAAAATAATCATATTAATAATAATACTTCTTTGTTTGGTCACAACTCTGCTATTAGCAGTAGTAATAATATTAATAATACTACACCGAATCGAACTTCTAGTATACATCGAGATGCTTTGCCTAGTTTAGCTCAATGTATGGCTGCCCTGTTAGCTGAACTACCAATGACTTCATCAAATTCACCATCATTATCATCATCTCATTTCGATGGTTTACTGAGTAGTGTAAACAATGTGGTTGATCAATTATTAATATCTGTCAAGGTAATTTATTGTTAGTATTGTTTTTTCCAGTTATCATTGTAATTATAGTTTTGATAATTTATTTATTTATTTGAACACATAAATATTGGTACAAGAGAGCGCCAATATATATGCGCCACACAAAACAATGAGAATTCGAAGAGAAAGAAAAAAAAGGTAAGGAGCGTAAAAAAAAGAGAACAATGACAAAGAGATTGGAGTAAGGTAGTGTCATAGTAACGACGGAACGAAAAGGTACAATCAGAAGAAATCTTTCAGGTAAAGGAGGCACAACCACTTTATGAAGAAAGTAAAAGAAGGTTACAGCAGGATCGCCACTGGCTTCTATTCTGAGCCATATCTGATAACGTCTCTAGCCACTGTGTAGCACCATCTCTCGGACCCCAACCAGGGAGTCGTGAAGGACCAACACAAGCCAGTCCTTTGCAGCTTTCTTTCATGCCACGACACCATGTCATGCACTGACCACCTCTCCGCTTCTTCCAACCAGTCCCAGAGTCGGCAAATAATGCACGACGTGGAATTCTCTGGGACGACATTCGTAGAACATGTCCAAGACACCGAAGTCGGTGTTTCAAGATGGTGACACCAATTGAATTATCATCTCTGTGCCCGAACACACGATGCCGAACCTCTGCATTACTGACATGGTGTTGCCACTGGATGTCAACAATCCTTCGGAGACAACGATGATCGAACACAGAGAGTCGTCTAACGTCCTCAACTCGGAGAGGCCAGGTTTCACAAGCATAGAGCAAAACTGCTCTCACCGACGCGTTGTAGATCCGGCCTTTTACAGCCAGACTAACATCACGAAGGCGCCAAAGGTGGCCCAGATTGGCATAAGCCGCTCTGGCTTTCACTATTCGTGCATTGATCTCATCACTCACACCCCCACCAGCACTTATGCAGCTACCCAGATACACGAACTTCTCAACTACTTCTATCTGCTCACCATCCAGGGTGAGTACAGGATTAGAATCCTGCCAGTCTTGTAGAAGTACTTTGCACTTCGAAGGTGCAAAGCACATACCATACCTACGGACACTGATTGCCAACTGATTAAGTGCGGATTGCATGCCTTGGGCATTATCGCACAGTAAGACAATATCGTCCGCATACTCAAGGTCGAGAAGTCTTTCTCCAGGCAACAGATCCACACCACCATTACTTACATTCATCAGAGCTGTTTCCAGAATGTCATCGATGGCAAAGTTGAAGAGGAATGGTGAGATTGGGCAACCCTGCCTAACCCCACTGCTCGAATGGAACAATGGAGAGAGGTGGTTGTATGCCCTCACTCTGCCTGAGGTGTTTTTATATAAGGCTTTTAGGATGTTAATAAACTTCTCAGGCACACCCTTCTTCAATAGACAATCCCAGAGAACAGTCCTATCCAACGAATCGAAGGCAGCCCTGATGTCAAGAAACACTACGATTGTTGGCCTTTGATAAGTATGGCGGTGTTCTAACATTTGGCGGAGGGTGAAGATATGATCAATACATCCTCTACCAGAACGAAACCCAGCCTGCTCCTCGCGAGTCAATCTTTCTCGGGTTTTGAACAACCTACGAAGAATGACGGAAGCCAATAGCTTGGACGCAATCGGAAGTAGACTTATCCCCCGATAGTTGTTACAAGAACGACGTGAACCCTTTTTAAAGATAGGGACAACTATCGACTCATTCCATGACGTTGGTACACTCTCGAGCTCCCAGACCTTTGTAAACAAGGTCGTCAATTCCTTAGTCAAAAAGTCACCACCATCTTTAAAAAGAGCCGTAGGTAAGTCATCTGGGCCCAGTGATTTGTAACGCTTCAAGAGTTGGAGTTCCTTGCGGACTTCCTCCTCATTTGGTTGATCAGTCGTCACCGGCCATGGAGGGCAGGACAGTCTGACCGATGTTGCCGGAGCAGCAGGCCAGTTGAACTGCCCTTCGAAAAATTCTGCCCATCGTCCAAGACGTCGATGGATGTTAGTGATTGGCATCCCATCATCCTCGCAGATTGTTTCGCTCACACCAGACTTCTTGCTGCCAGTGGCTCGGATGAGTTGGAAGAGCTTCCGGTAGTTACCAGATGCAGCTGCTGCTTCCAGCTCATTAGCACGCTTCGACCACCTGGCTTCTCGGTCCTTACACAAGCTTTGCCCAATTACCTTACGTAACATCCTTCGTTTATGGTCAAACTCACGGTCACCCGGAGTAGACCGACGGGCTTCAATGAGTTGTAAGTAACCTGGAGAAACCCAGTGCTTAAAAGCGGGACGTTTCGCAAACCCATAACTGACTGTTCCCGCCATTTTCATGGCGTCATGCAATTGCAACCAATGCTCATCTATACTTTTCGGTGGAGTGGTAGCTAGCCTAGAGGCTAGCTCGGTTCGATACTTACTTGCAACAGAAGTTGCAACCAGCTTGCTAACATCAATCTTTTGGTGGTGGTCACTTCGTTGGCCACTGAAAAGTAAGGCAAGATTGGCGCAGACCAAGGCATGGTCAGAGTCCAGATAGGTACTCCAAAAGGAGCGGCAGTCTTTTACACAACCACGCCAGCGGTAGCTGATCGCGATGTGATCAATCTGAGTCCAGGCTTGAGATGCAGAGGGAGGACGCCAGGTGGCACATCGGCGATGACTGTGCCGAAAGTTAGTGCTAGCCAGAAACAGGTTGTGGTCTGTGCACAGTTGCAGTAGACCGTCCCCGTTATCTGACCTGCGACCAACGAGTCCCCATCGGCCACCTAAACGACTCTCTTCTGTGCCTAGACGCCCGACCTGAGCATTCAAGTCTCCGGCTAGTACTACAATATCTGTCGAACGCACTTTCTGGAGAAGAACAGTTAACTGGTGGTAGAATTCATCCTTGATTGCATACGGGCTGCAATCTGTCGGGGCATAGGCGGAGATGACGAAAAGACATCGTTTCTCACGCCTATTTCTTCTCACTTTGATGGAACTTTCTAATCTAACAGCACATAACCGACTGTTAATGGGGATCCAATCGACTAGTGCTGCCTCAGCTCTAGCGCTTAGTGCGACACCAACGCCAGCAAGACCAGACGAAGATGCCACAGGGTCCCCGGATAAGCGCACGTAAAACAAGCTTTTTGAAGCGACAGATGGAGATCGAATTTGTAGTACTTCGCCAGAGTCTTGAATACGGGTCTCGGATAGACAACACACGTCGATATTAAGACTTTTCAAAGACATAGCCAGCCCTATCTGTTGTCCGACCTGCATAAATGTGCGAACGTTGAAGGCAGCCAGTTTGAATGGTGCACGTGGTTTCAGAAAAACTGCTTCAGTCCTCGTATTCGGTGGTAACATACAATTTTCAACCGGACAGTGACTCGAGAACGTTTAGATACAGTCGGATTTCCACCAAAGACGAGCCGCTGTATAAGTATAAAAAAGGGTGAATAATGTGGAAAATAATAATAATAATGATAATAATAACAATAATGACAATAATAGTAGTAATAATAATATTAGTATTAATAATGACAATAATTGTAATGATAATAATCTTAATCAATTGTTTGTTTTTCAAAGCGAGAAAGGTAATTTCCATAGGCATAAAGAGTTCATCAATTTGTGTGTGGGCTGTGATACTGCCCGGGTGCCCAAACCGAAGCAGGTGGTTATCTCAGGGGGCCACTCCCCGAGCCTTTGACCTAAAGGTCTAACCCACAAGGCAGTGGAGCATCGTAAGGAGATGCAGTCCCATGGTAGCCGGTGACCAACGATTGGTTCATACGCCATTCGTTCCCGCAGAGGAAGCTTCTCAATTATTCACCATTGGTAGGAATGAAAATATTATTACATATTTCTCGTTTAAGTATGACATAATTTATCACATACTATATCTGTGAAGGTGAGAATAATATTACTAATGGTAGTGTAGTGAACGAGAACACAAGTGGGGACAACCAAATGTGAAAACCATACAGTAATACTTCATTTGCAAATTATACATCAATTGTTTCAAACTTTGTTGTTCCTTCGTTTCCATACCGATCATTCTCTGTTTTCATTCTCTTCTCTCTGATTTTCTCAACCTTCTGCCGCCAAGCATTTCACTTTCGATTGATGACACATACTACTTATATCTGTAGACATCATTAGCACCCACCACAATAATAATAATAATAATAAGATAATGAGAAATAATTTCACACTGTAAATATAGTGATGCAGTTAAGAAATATCATTGTTATTCAAGCTTAATGGTACTTCATATTTGATTCATATCTGTTCTATATTTATTTATGTGTGTTTGCATTTATCTTCAGGATCCTTCTACATCTCCAACACAATTATATCTGAATTTGCTTATTTTGGGTGAATTAGGTCGTAAAGTGTAAGTTTAAAGTATATACTTATTCTAATTCAATTTGAATTATCCCTTTGTTGATATATTTTCTGACTGAATTTTGATCCGTCTTGATTGACATATTGTCCATACTGTCCGTATTGCCTCGATATAGCCATTATAACACAATTTGATATAGAATGGAGGATCCACCTTGGGGATTTGGAAAACTCGTATTCTAAACCAATGGTGCACATGGGCTCCAGGATCCTTAGGGAACAAATGGCGTATTAGCTTATTGTTGGTCACCGGCTGCCATGGGACTGCATTTCCTAACGATATTCCACTGTCTTGTGGATTAGACCTCTAGGTGAAAGACACAAGGTGTGGCCTCCTAAGAAAACCACCTGCTTCGGTTTGGGCACCCGTATGGTATTCAAGTATTCACCTAAATTGAATGATTTATGTGGCGCATATATTTTTGGTGCCTCTTTTTACGAATGTTAATATGTTTAAATAAAAATGGATGAGAGTGGAATCCAGGCTTCAAACTGCATTGCTTTATCCGCTGAACTACTGTATTCGAATGGTCACTCACTTGTGCAACAGTTATGAAGTCTAATTTAATTCGAAACGGTTTGTATTATCTCACACGTTCTGGATTCCACTGCTAGCCACATTTCATCTATTATAAATGCTTATTTATTTTTCTGTGTGTTATTACATAACTTCAAGTAGATAATAACACCATAACTATGTTGACACATACACATAAGCCTTAATCAGATTTTTTTGGAATCTTAACTAAGAGTCCGTTTTTAAGCAAATCTTTTCTAATAACGAACAGTGGAATTAAGAACTCCTATCGTTTCGTCCTATTTGGTTCTCTTCAACTGCATATAATTGCTACATTCCAGTGTTGATATTTACAGCGGGAAAATTTCAAATGTTTTTAAAGGAATAAAAGAGTTTATGATTATGTTAATCATTGGTGTATTCTTTCTATAAGAACCATTTATCTAAAGTATTATCCGATCACTAAAAACATTTCCTGTATAGTTAAATATGCAAGTTCTTTAATTTATGGTATCACTAGCCTTTACATAAGGAAGCATAACTAAACATTGATTTCAAAGCTTATTACTCAAGTGATTAAGTTACATTATAGTTACATAATATCATTGATACACTAAATCCGAGTGCCTTTTTAAATAGTTCATTCTTTTCCTATGAATATTAATCTATAACATAAAAACGAATGTCGGAATAACTATTGATTGATCAGTTAGTTTTTCTTCATCAAATCCTGGTTAATTTTTTTTGTCTACTTAGAGGTTACCGACAGAAAACTCTGCTTGATCTAAATTTCACACTAATTTATATTTATCCGTAAGGTGTACCTGTAATCTTTTTGGAAACTTAAAGTATCCAAACTTGGGTTACCCAGATTCATAATCTGAGATGTTACCAGTGAGCGATTCACCTCGCCACTGTTAATTCCTTGATCCATATTTCCATTAATAAACAGAGGAAAATTTGTCTCAATCTGTTTTAAGATCTTAACACAATAGGTTTTTTAGTCCAACTTGAAGGCTAGCGATTCATGAGTCTTATTGTGACTGAGAAAAGAAAACGAAATTATTGATTTGGATGCTTTTATATTTTCTAATCGTTAATTAATACCATCTAAGTGTTCATAGGTGTCAGAATGATTGTTAACTCTTTATATAATCACTGTTGGAAACTTTATTTAGATTGCTGGTGAAATGCTTGAATAGAATGTGTAATCTTTATAAATTTTAATGAACAACTGTCCTATTGTAACATTCACTGTCGATAATGTCAAACTGTTCACCTTAACTACAAAAAAATATTGTTTCCTAAATATAATCGTATGTAATGAACCCCATGAAAAAATTGAGAATGCATGTTCAGTTATGTTTTTTATCATAAAGTTATTTGAGTATCATTAACCTATCAAGCAAGTAATTTTAGGCTTATAAATCAAAGACACACGGGATTGAAGTTACCGATTGTTGGTCAAAGTTATTCGAAATTAGATATGTTTACAGACTTTGGATATATATCAACGATAGTTTACAAGAGAAATCGATTTTTTGAAACTTGATCATACTTCATCGACTCTCAGAATCGATCACAATGGCATAGGTGTATACACTTTTTGTCTTCTCTTAATTCGTGAGATTAAAATGACTCTATATATTTCTTTCTACGAACTAATTCTTTCTCCTTGTATCATATCTTTGTATACAATCTTTCTTTTATACATTACTACCATCGAAGTGACTGCTTCTATGAATTCGGTGTTAATCTTGTTGTTCTAATGAGGTAGGTCGTAGGTTCTATTCCTGCCAGTGTTGTCGATGTGTACTATTGTAGAGGTCCATACCAGAACGAAACAATTATCCATTACCTCCTGGCTTTCAATGATTGTCTGTAATGTAAACTATTAAATTCAACAAGCTCTACAACACCTTTGCAAAATTAGCGTCTTGTTTACAATACTTTCTTTCCTCCGTTTTCATACTGGGAAGTCCTAAAATTATCATTTGTCCTGTAATTTTCTTGTCATAGTTCTGTTGCATCTTTCCTCCTTGTATGTTTGTTCTGTTTTTATCTTCCCTTCTTTTTTCCCTCTAGTGATTTGAGTTCACGTACCGATCTTCGTGATCTATTAATTTCTTGCCTGTCATCAACCAATAATTCACCTTATTACCAACAAACACCTCATACTCCAACCGGTTTATCTCATTCTACAATATCATCCAATGGATTTATGGTCAGCGAAGAAGTTAAACCAGCAGCAGCGTTAAGTTTAGGTCGAATGGTTGTTGGTAAACCAGAAATTCTTTTGCCACCATTAATTGAAAGCATTTCACAAGCTGTAAAACACCATATGCAACTGACAAACACCTCAGGATCTCTTACTAGCATCAGCAGTATCGGTGCCAGCAGTGGTAGTAAAAATAACACAAGTCAACATCAATTATATTATTTAATTCAAGCTCTCAGAGAGGTTAGCTTTTTGCAAAGTTTGTCATAATATTGCAGTGTGTTCTTTGATGAATTATCGCTGTTTAGAATTTTTTAAAAAATAAATAGGGTTGTTTTGTGCGAAGGCACACCTATCTGAGGATGGAACGTACATCCTGGATTCCGTTACCAACCATAGTTTAAATGTTCTCCTTTTAGTCAATTTGTTTAGCAGAAGTTAACATATAGTTACCATCACGGTTTAAATCAATTTTCGTTCTTCATATGTCTTTAACAGTCAGTTTCATTGATATTATGAACCGGCCCATGTCAGGTAACTGTTCGGAACTCAAAGGTTGTAATTTACGGATAACGCTAACATAACCTTCAGAACATCCACCTACTTACTAGTGTTAAATGAGGGTTATCAACCAGTGTGAGGAATTACGGGTTAGGAATTGGATTTAGTGTTTTCATCAGTGATAATGACAAAATTCTATTTAGTCGAATGGATGAATGAATTGTGCGCTTAAGTCCAAGACCCGTTATCTTATACTTGATTGGTTCTTCCATAAATTATAGTCTCGCCATAAATCCATGTCTACTGAACAACAACAGAGACTCAACAAAATGAGCCAATAGAAAGTATGGGTCATGTTTACATAAAAGACTAATACAGTTTCATAATTGATAGTTAAGTAAGAAGAAAGTGATAATGAAATTAGTGAGTTCTAAGTGGTGGGCCTTTTTTTTTTTTAGCTCGAATGTTATTGATTAGTTCAGGTTTATTGAACAATGGGTTTAGCACTAAATTGTATTAATCCATGAAATTGAGTGAGAATGCCTTCTGTTATCGTCGATGGGTACCTACCTTATGTCTGGCATATAGTTTAATTCTATTGGTCTTTTTTTCACTAGAATTCATTGTAGTGTACTTCACTAGGTTTTGTTGTTGTTCAATCAATGAATCTGAATATTGTTAGTCACAATTCAACAATACCATTCTTGAATTTATGAAATATTCTGCATTTAGTTGTTCTTTTTTCTCTTTGTTCATTGTGATTGTTCCATTTTCTTTTTGCGTTAAATATTTTTTTCTAACAGGTTCTTGTTAATCTTGCTGGTCTGGATCCTAATCAATCTTTGAAACATTATCTAGATTCAATGTGGTAAGAGTTTTTCACCAAGGCTCATAAATACACTTGATCTCAATCATTGAAATCAGACTAAAAGCTGCACGTATTCATTTTGAGAGCTGAAAATTTTGTCCCATTAAAGATACATGGTATAGTGATAATAAGAATTGACGATTGTCATAATCAGTGTTTTACCTACCTACATATGCGTAATTTGTTTTTGTCGATTTCACCTTATATTATTATGTTTACATCAGTCCTGTAGATTAATGAAAACAACTGTTGCATTGTTGACTTACTATTAAACAGATCGATCTTTAAATCCCTTGTAATCAGCCTTATTTTCAGTTAATTAGTGGTCGTAAGAACGTTTTACCAATGATACTCTATTTTTTTTTAGCGTGTATTGCTCTTTTTTCTGATTAAATTAATTGTATTTTTCTATTTTCAAGCTATTTATGGGTTGTATGGTATAGTGTTTCAGCTAGATTGGTTGGTAAAGCTTTTTTTGGGAAGGCTTATGTAGGCACTTCTTGAATGGGTTCCGTGTTTTCAAGGCTCACAAAAACCGCATGGATGTGGTTTTTAGAGAACCTTTGTCTAGTAGGTCTTTTGTGCGTACCTCGGTATCGTAAGAAGGGCAAGTAAAGGATTTTCAAGTTTTTACTTACCCTAGAGAGTTTGCATGCATACTAAGTAACGCATGGATTTGACATATATACAGGTATACCTACCCTGTGATCAAATACACGTTACATACACACAGGTTTTATCCTATAGCACACATAAAAGCACATTCATCCACTTGGCAGGGTAGATGTTCATCGCCTCCGTAGAAAAATACTTGCTACGACAGACTGTCTTCTACACATTACATGCATATCATTCAACCCATAGCTACCGCCGCAGTACTTCCTGACACACATAAGCAGAAGCATTCTCTCAGAGGAGGTTATTGGTCACTTGTCCCTAGTATTTGCTACCATATCTCTTTTTATTATGTCTTCAACCTGATAGATTAGGATGCTGATTTTATTAGACATAAGGCAGACAATGTTTCAGCTAACGTCTCCACTGTACGACACTGCACGCACACCCTTTGCATATACCTACATGCGTGAAGTACATAGGCCCAAAGGCTTCTGCAATTCTTATTCATATGCATGCACATCAAGTGGCTCGATGTGTTTAAGTGAGCCTCGAGTTGGGACCCGAGTTAATCAAAGACCACATAGTGGGTGATTAGTCCTCTCTCCGTCGTCCACCTAACGTGGCTAGCAGGATTGTCCCTACTATCCAGCAGCACCTCGAGGACTCTTTAGGTCGGATTTCGCCGCCAGTGGCACGGTACCTGGCAATAGATTCACTTAACTTATGCCTGTCATTTTTCGTGCAGGAACATAGGCCGCCAACCAGGATTCTTCAACCAACTCTATCTTCAACTATTCCTTCCAGTTGTTCTCAAGTACTATTCATCGTCTTCGATGTCTGCCTCCGATTCTCGACGTGTTAGATTCTTCGATCTTCCTCTTTTCCTTTACCTGCCTCATGACGCAGTTTGATGATTTCCGCATTGTGTATCCTATCTACCTCCCGAGTCTTTTCCTAAATTCCTTTTCAGCTAGAAGCTGGTTTGTTCTCTGCCATAGTAAGTTGCTACTTATGATATCTGGCCAACGGATCTGAAGTATCTTGATTTTATAGCTGTGTTTATCAATACCTGTACCTTTTTGATGATGGTAGTACTCTAAGTTTTAGATCCGTACAACAGAACGTTTGTTTTGAAAATTGTGGCTTTAATGTTGTCTGTCAGTTGTTTTAGTTCCATTTATTCTTCAGTTGTAAATGGTAAAGTAGTGTGCCAATAAAAATCTATCCAACTTTGAAACATTGCATAATTTTTTTTTCAGAAGACTACTATTCATGGCTTATAATAACTTTGTTCTAGGTTTTAATCCTGAATTACGCAAGTAATTATTAGACTTTTGTCGGTTTTGTGTTGCTACCGTATTACTCCATTGATACGATGAACCTAAAAAAACCCACAGAATCATTTTACTTTTTATTCAAATACTGTAAACAGCGTATCATTTCAAAATGCATTAATCAATGTTTAATAGTGGTTAATGTAATCCTTCTTTGATCGAGATGAATAGCTGCCCAGTAGTAACATTCCCAGTTTGTAAAGTTGAGTGACGGTGGTTCGAACAACAAAATTACAGTTATAACTTGTTGATGAGCGCCAATTAACACGAAATACAATTCAAGCAGCACTCTCTGTCGAATGCTTCCAACTAGTTAACATACATATCACTTCAACCACAATTTTTGTTTAGCTGCCGTTAAATTAAAAATAGAGTCGAACCCCTTTCCACCTAAAAACCGTGTTTTCTTATCACTACATCTTTACTCATAAATCATGGTTAAAAGCTTTAAATAAATCGGTAATCGGTTAAAGTAAATTACGGTTACATGAGTATGGTTGTTGTTTGCTCAGTAATCTCCACTAAATAACATAGTTGTAGCCTCTTCACAAATATTTTGTTTTCGTATTTTCATTCTGTATTAGGTCCCTTTTATTAGCGTGCTCTGGTTTATCGGAAGAGGGTACACGAAACCTAGTCTCAGAATGTCTTGGCCGATTAACGTTGGTCGATCCTCCGCAACTAGTTGGTCGTCTACGTCAACAGGTAATATTTACCAATTGTCTTTTTGTACCATACTTCCAATTTTGATTGACAGTATTTTGTTTTTTTCTAATATTCAGTTTAATACCAATTAATCGTTTTCTACAATCATTTGTTCAACCTATTTGGTTAATTTCGGGCTTTTTTCGGGAAATTAAGTATTATTTTATTGATATTATCTTGTGTATCATCACCTAGAGCCTACACATATTTCTCTAAAATATGTGTATTGTACTGTAACTACTCATGAGTAGCCAGAGTTCACCCTACCAACCTATTTGCAAGCTGACTGTTCCATTATCGGTTAGTCCTGATTTAGCCTATTTAACCGGTCATTTTTGTACCTCTGTACGTTGAGATTCGATTATTACTGTTGAGCTCATTACCTTCATTATGAGTTTATTATAAACTAGATTTAATATAAGTATCTTAACTCGACGAATTGGTAACATTCATTTTTCAAAGTGTAATATGATGTGTGGTATCAAGGATTTTCGGGTGCTTTTTCTGTTCACCTAGCTAAGTACATAAATCTCTACCTGACATCTTAAAAAATTTCACACATAATATATCATTGTATTTTAGCCAACAAAAATATTCACTCCACTTACCTGTGTAATCATTTTCTACTCTTTATTTTATAGCTGAATTCACCTGAGGCTTCATCGTCAGTTTTAATGCGTTCAACATTAGTTACTGCGGTGAAATTCATTCTAATCGTTACTGATTTAGACGCGGGTACAATGACAAAATATACCGGTCGTATGCGTTACGATCTACCAGACGTAACATATTTTACGGTCCCATCTCAGGAAACTCCTATGCCATCACCTGTGACTAATGACATTGAATCAGCTCTACGAGCTGGTAATCCTCCTGCATTGATAGATTTTCTTGGTCGTCTTGCAGATCAGGAATTATCAGTTCGACGTGCAGCTCTTGTTGCATTGAATACTGTGGCACATCATAGACCTGGTCTTGTACGTCCATTACTTAATATACCTATACAATTGCCTGGTTCATCAGAAACATCAACTCTATTAGATATGTTATGTGCAGAAACAGTTATACGAAAAGAATTGATCCGTGAAGTAGAGATGGGTCCATTCAAACATCATGAAGACGATGGTTTAGATTTGAGGAAGGTGAGTTTTATTTTTGCTTGCATTTAATTTATAAAATATTTTGATTAATCACACTGCGGACTGATCTCAGTTAAATCACCTTTAAAAGTGAGGAAAAACTGTACAATTATTTCGTCTTAGTATTAAACTAATCAGTAGCTGTGCTTACTCATGATTTTACCTTTGATGGAATCCAACATGTTCAGTTTTGCGGCATGCAGCTAACATTTATACACCATTATTTCTCACTAGAATTGTTGAAAGTACGTCTCGAAGTTAGTCATTAACAAAGTTAGCCATGTACATCATTAGATTCCGGTTTAATGATCTAAAGGTTAAAATCTCACGCACGAGTTAACGGTTCTGGGTTAAATCTCTTAATGATTTTGTGGATACACACTACCAAAAAGTCCCAACTAGGACGAAACAACTATCATGTGCTTTTGCTTTTCAAATGTGACTTAACTAAAATCAGTACGTGATTTGTACTTTAAGAATTCAACGATCCCCATAAATATTTGTTTAAAAGTCCCTGCCTCACGTCTCCGACTTCAGATAGGTCTTTGTGAAGTATCAGTCGTGGCTAAATGTTTGACAATATTGTTTCATTTCGTCTTTCGTAAAATGTGACTATACCACTGATATGTAGGAGAAATATTTCCAAATTATTATTTATAAAGTGGGTTTTGTGAATGACACAAATTGTCATATTTCGCAATTGTAATAAGTAATCATATTATCAGCTAACCTACCTACAGCTGATGTCAATACTTCACATATTTTATAGCTTGAACACATTCATTAACCAAGATCATATCGTAGAAGGATCATTCGAAAGCGATATCGTTGTATACATCAGTGAATTTATCTTATGCAGAATCTGACATCGGTTTAAGTCGCCACGTCGTTTCAACACAGCGACATACCATAATATTAAAACTAGTGACATTTTCAGTCGTAATAGACAAGTTATTCATAGATAATAAAATTCAAGAAGAATGATTGGGTTAGAGAAGGAGTGGTTTAAATCTAATGAAAAACAAAGACTGAAACACACAACGTCTCCAACCATTGGTCACAGTTATGTGTACAGACTCCAACCCTATACTCTGCATTTACTAACATAACTTAGTCCAACATTTGTTTTAGTATCGAACTCCTCTACACCGCACATCCACAATCCTGCCCACAGGACTCGAACCCACGACCTTCGGAATTCCCAGTGCTGCAGCAATGCAAAATGGCATTGAACTTTATTGTATTGCACAACATCGTTTACTTTTGCTGTTCTTACGTGGTTCCGTCGTAGACTCCTTCCTTAATACGATACACTTGATGTACTTATCATATAGTGTGAAATTTTATACATAAGTTGACAAATCAAAATATCTTTTATCCCGTCGTGTGGTGATCTTATCAGTAGTAGCCTAATGAGAAAGTCAATCGATAACAATCAGAAGTGATCCAAAGGACAAGTGAATTTCGTTGGCTAAGAAATGAACTAATCGTTATTGCGAATTCGGACAAGTAAACCATCTATCTCGGAGAGCAGAGCACTACCGCTAAAAATGTTCCTCATTTAAAGACAATTCGCAGTATACTATTTACTCGTTGTGTGTTTTTCTCATCTTTAAAATTGAAATGATATGTAATTATTACTATTTTATATTTTATGTGCAATCTTCATTCCTACTTTAACACTCTATCTTTATTATGATTTGCGTTTTTTCCCTCCACAGTGTGCATTTGAATGCATGTCCACACTATTAGAGACATGTTTAGATAAACTTGTAATACCGAATTTTCTGGAATCATTAATTGATGGTCTACGTGATCATACTGATATAAAATTATTATCTTATCAAATACTTCAACGTATTTCAATAATAAGACCAATGGAAATATCTGCTAGTAAGTTGATGAGTTTAATTGTATTTCGTTTGTTTATTTTTTAAGTATGAGTAAACGGTTGAGGAGATTCTTTAGCCTCACTGATATCCCGAACCAATCAATGTTAACCCAACAACTCTGTTGATATCTAACCTCAATCATTCTACGATATTGTGTGACCATATTCAATTAGATGATGAAACCTGATTGTGATGTAGTGTGGTGTATTATGCCCTGGTACGGCCGAGGATGGGATGAGTCCGCTCTCCCTCTCGAAGTGCCGCGCGTATATTGCCACTGCCAGGGAAGACCTAATCACACTCCCTTCTCTCAATAGGGGTGTTTACGAAATTGAAAGGACGAAAAGAGAACGTTCGGCGATATGCCCAGGTTGGTGGATATGGAGGATTCACTCAGGGGAATCGGAAAGCCCTGATTCCAAATCTATGGTTCACATGAGCTTCAGGTTCCTGAGGGAACAAATGACTCATAAACCAACCTATTGTTGGTGACCGGCTACTATGGGACTGGATCCTGAACTCATCGTAGACAATGGATGATGGTCCTGGGTTCGATTACTACCTGCTGATTCGTGGATATCGACTGCTGAGGACTTACACACTAGGACAAAAACGACCGTGAGCATGTGTGCTCACTAGTGATAAACTTTGGGAGGGGATTCTCGAAGTTCTAGTGAGAAGCTGTGACTGGTGGGGTTCAACCATGTTTCATTTGAGGCAGTTGCCCACCTAAGGCCTTTGAAAATAGTCACTTAATATCGCGGATCTATTGAACTTAGATATTAACACCGTTAAATGCCGACTCAGTGATCTAAAGGTTAAGTGTTCGTGTGTGAAACCAAAGGTTGTGGGTTCGTTTCCGGTTCCTGGTGTTGTAGATGCGCACTGATTAGGAGTCTCATATTGGGACGGGATGGCCGTTCAGTGCTTCCTGACTTTCACTGGTTGTCTAACTTGTATCAGTTCGTAATTTCAATAAACAATTGTCACCTGGACAGAAAATCACGAAAGTAATATAGGCCAATATCATACTGAGCAAAAGCTAGTTAAATGAAAAATAATAATGAATTAATCTAACTCAATGTTATTCTGAGGGCAACAAATCTCACTGAATTAATACGGAAAAAAACCTGACCGAATGAAAGTCCTCTTTAATAAAGATCAATACAACCAGTATTTGACATTTTTATCCCATCCTGACATCTTGTTGGAAGATTTTTTAAAATTCACTTTTGTATCAGGTATAAATCCATGTAATTCACTTCGAGCCATTCTCTTAGTTTAAGGCTTAGTTGTATTATTTTCTTACTCAAATAAAAGTGGCCGAAGTGGGTTTCGAACTCACGACTTAATAGTTTGAAATCGAATCTTTTAATCACTAAATCACCAATTCATTGAGTGAATATGTAGCTTAGATTTGTTTTTTTTCGTAATAAGCTAAGACAATAGGCGAAATATTTTTATATTCGCGCTATGACCTTGAACTCGCTTTCCCAGTTGTGATTAATTTGGCATTGTACTCAAGATTGACCATTGTGTTTGTCCTAACTATTACCATTATTATTGTTGTACTAAAGCTTTTTATCTGATAATCATTGTTTTTAATCTGATATTTTTGTTGATCTTTTTTTATCATGATCAGAAATGGAAATTTTAGCTGTACCGTTAAAAGCGGTTCTTTTATCCAAACCTAAAGATGATTGGGTTAAACAAGAAATGGAGAAAATGCAAGAATTAAATCGAAGTGCTATTGGATTGATAGTCAGTTTAAGAAATATTGATGATATTGGTATGTTATGATGTAAATACTCTTGATCGACTTTCCTTTCTTTTCTTTTTTTTGCTAAACGACTCATTTTTGTACTATTTGATGAATGCTTGGTTGTTACAATCAGTCATCAGCTCTTTAATTGTCTAATTTCATTTTATTCTGTTCCTGGTATTTTTAATCATCCCGGAAAAAAAATTTTTTTTAGTTGAAAAAAATCTGGAAGTTTTGTTTTATATCCAAAGGAGCTAGTCGTAATCAATGTAAGCGCTGGGGCAAATATGTATTTCTCTAAGCTTTGGAATTACATCAACACAGTACTTACTTACTTACTTAAGCCTGTTACTCCTCGTGAATGAGCATATGCCGCTCACCAACATTCTCCATCCAACCCTGTCCTGGGCAATCCTTTCCAGCTCCTTCCAGTTTTTATTCATCCTTTTCATATCTGCTTCTATTTCTCGACGTAATGTGTTCTTTGACCTTCTTCTTTCCCGTTTCCCTTCAGGATTCTAGGTTAGGGCTTGCCTCGTGATGCAGTTTGATGATTTGTGTACTGTATATCCTATCCATTTCCATCATCTTTTCCTAATTTCCTCTTCAGCTGGGATCTGGTTTGTTCTCTCCCACAGTAGGCTGTTGCTGATTGTATCCAGTCAACATCAACACAGTGTTATGAACATATCAAATTGATTCTTATATTGCCAGTATTTTCTGTAAAATTTGTCGGAAGGTTTCTAAGAACAAATTATACTACATTAAAGGTGATGGTCAAATTAGATTGGAATGGGATGAAAGATTGTTTCCTGATACTATTACTGCTGTTTCGATTTGATTAGCATTAGTAATATGAAATATCAATCCGTCAATCATAATACAGATGGTGGTACAAATGTTAGTCTAAGTTGTTAATCAACGGTATTGTAACCAATTCTTAGTTTATATCATCAAATGTCTCCCGTCATAGTTATGGCATCAACCTTAATCAAAGATACTCAGCATTTACTTCTTTGTAAATGATCTCGTGAATTTATACTATACTATAGTTTCGTTACTCTTAGTTTTCTCCTAATCTTTTTCTCTACACTAACTAACACTATTGATAGGTGGGCGAGGCAAATAACGATTGGTTGTTTACTTAGTCACATTAGTAGATAATCTAACAGGTATCAGATGAATTCTTTTCCTTATTATTATTATTATTGTCTTTGTTGTCGGTTCTTGGAGTGGAAATATACTTACGTTCTAGTTAGGCTAGTCACATGTTCTTGATCTGAATTGTGTTAAAGTCCTGTAGAATAGACACTCGAAGGGTATCTATTGTGGATCTTCTGTCTATGGTAAAATAACGTCCCTTTCGTGTAGACGGAGAAACGAAGCGTTATAACAGCTATATGTTGAGTTAATCGATGGTTGTGGATACACAGGATATGTTTCAACTACGTCATTTAATAAAGGTTTATAATCCCATGAACTGATTTTTCATCTTTGATGCACATTCCAATAAGTTTTATTTGTAGTATATAGAGTTTTATTAATCTTATTTTGAATTTAACTTAATATAATCTTGAGTCAATTGAAGCTATATCACCATGGAAAACTTGGAAGCACTGGACGGCCGTTTCGTCCTGGTATGGGACTCCTCAGTAGTGCATATCCACGATCCCGCACCCGATGAGATTCAAACCGATGACCTATCAGTCTCGCACCAGGCGCTTAACCAACTAGTCCACGGAGTTGGGTGCGCACTGCTGAGGAGTCCCATACTAGGAGGAAACGGCCGGCCAGTGCTTCCAGGTTTTCTATGGTGGTGCAGCTTCACTTGACTCATGATTTCAATCAGTGAAATTTCTAAAAATCTCTACAAAATTCCTTCTGATTATTATGGATTGACGTCTATTCAAATAATTGTAAGCAGAGATGGATGATGACTGGCAGTGGAACTCAGAACGCTCGTTTCGTCCTATTTCGGACTCGTCAGCCGGATGTTCCTGCATCCCATAGTTGATGCTCACTCTGCAACTCGAACCCAGTACCATCCGCCTCAATTAATATCTTAATAATAATAATAAGAAGAAGAAGAAGAAGAATCGATTAGTGACTTGTTCCAAGATAAATGGGCTTTGTAATATTTTAATAGGAATATGAATAGAATTGGCAAATTTAACATTGTCTAGATGATCATTTATAGCTTTAATTGGAGATCTTCCATTATACAGGTAACTAGGTACAAAGAAAAAAGAAAGTCGCTGATTAACTTTCAATATGATTGCTATCTAGTTTGTTTGTTTGTTTGTTGTTTCATTACTTCACTTAAGAAAATATGAAAACGTTTTATTTCTTTTATTGTGCTTTTATTTATTTAGATAAAAATCGTCATTATGTCGAATTATTACGTATTATTAATGCAGATTCTAATTTAAAAAATATTTATATGCAAATTTTGTCCACTGAAAATTATTCTACTAAAAATAATCTATCAACATTGACAACAACACAAACAACCGGTGAATATGGAAGAAACACTTCTTCATCATGTTCTCTTACTGGTGATGGTAGTGGTGGTGGTGGTGGTGGCGGCGCTGGATTTATCGGTAAATTCTCATCGACACGTTCATGATTTATCCGACTTTACTATTTTAAATCGGCAATATTTTTTAGTTTATCCATTGAGTCATGGATTCACTAACAATCAAACAAACAAACACGCATACACACACACACAACACACAAGGTCTTTTTCCCGCTTGTAAACACTTTGAATCGAAAAAGAAAGTATAAACATTGTTTTGTGTCTTCTCACTTACACCATCTGATGAAAAGCAAAAAAAAATTTTTTTTTAAATACATGTACCTTAATAACAAAAATGTCCAACTTTTTTTTTACCTCATCCATTCATCTTTCCTTTATTATTTTCTTTCAAACTATCATCTTAGTATCAAAATGTAATGTATGCGACTTGATCAAATGTGTGTCACTGTGCCAAATGATTGTTTTATTTATTGTATAACAATAGTAACCATGAATATTAAAAAAAAAATGTGTTTAAATCTTTTTATGTTGTGTTATAGTAGAAATCAACTAATTATTCAATGAATAGTTTGATACTATATTTATATCGTTTAAGTATATCCATCTTTCTGTCTTATTTATGTATACACATTAACATGTAATAACATTTAAAAACAAATAAATGACAACATACATTTCAACCTGGTTACTCACTTCTTTTTGTTTGTTTATCCATATTTTTCTTTAACAATTGCTTGTAAGCTTACTACTAATCTATAGGACGAATATTTCTCTCTCTCTCTCTCTCTCTTTCTCTCTCTCTTACACACACACACACACACTCTTGTTAGGAATCGAGCCAATACAATAGTCATAACAATAGGAAAAGACTAATGTTGTGTTATACGGTGATGATAAAACAATGAATGCTTTATCTCTCTCTTTAGAGCAAACAAAATTACGAAAGAAAAATTGTTTCTACATTTATTTTATGCGTTTTTTTTCTGACTTGAAAGAATGTGTTTGTCTGTATGTATGTGTGTGTGTGAGTGTGAGTGTACGATATAGCGCTTAAAGTAGTTTGTGCTTTTGTTTGTTTTAATTTTCTTAGGTTTACACATGATCTGCACCATGATAAATGAATAATGCGTATATGATCTTATGTTTAGTTGAATTATTATTATACTCTGTATTTGTCCTTTGAATGTAGTTGAGTTACATCTAACAAAATATTATGATATCGAATGTTGTTAAAGACAAGTTATGAGTGATGGTGATAGTAATCACTTTCTGATTGTGTATACTTTGAAAATTTATTTATTTAAACACATAGACATTAATACAAGGGGGCAACACCACATAAATCATTCATATTGTGTGCGGGCTGGGATACTGCCCGGGCGACCAAACCGACGTAGTTGGTTTTCTAAGGGGTCCACTCCTCGAGCGTTCGTTCACATAACTCAAACATTGATGATGATTAGGGTACAGTTTATTAATTGGTTTTCTATAACTGTAATATATAAATACTGTTGAATAATAAGTATATCTAACTGTGAACAGAGGTTCATCACTCGTTAGCGATGTGTATTTATAAGTTTTTAGATGCTTAGATGTAATCGACAAAAGCAAATCAAGTATGGTATGAGTTTTGTGCTAGTTGATACTTACTAACAAGATGTACCTTTATTCATGAGTGACCAACCAGCACCCAATCTTATAGGTGAGTAACGACATCACCCTGAATATAGGCACAACTCAGTAGGTCTTCGGGGATTTCCTGCTCGGAATTAGTCACCACTGAGGACATGATAATTTTTAGTAAGAGATTAAGTTATGGAGATTGCAGAATTTTTTTCATAAATCATGAGCTGACTGTACATGGACTAGTGATATTGCCCTATTTCGAATATACAATAACATCAATGTGGATACATCTAAAAAATATTGAACTAATCGAAACAATTTGTAAATCAGTAGTGACAATAACGATAAAGGATTACGTAACCAAACCTTGTAAGTTGAAAGATTCAGTAGTAATTGTAAGAATAATCAACAGTACGATAAAATGAACAAATGTATATCGACATGGGGAGTAGATCAAAGCGTTAAAAAAAAACTAAACATGAAAATCGATTACCATTGATTCATATAATGTGAATGAATATGACAAGGAGTTGAGAAACTTAGAATTGTAGGGTAGATTTCCTCCGGACATTTTGTTGGCTTGAATTCGTTATCTCTTTGATAAACGGGATTGAAATCTAATGTTTAGGAACTAAATTTAGACAATAGATCAGTATAAATACTCGATTTTCCAATATCACATGACCACCATCATTCATCTGTGATAAAACGAACCTAAACCTCAGTTTTGTTTAATCCTTTCCCAAACAAAAAAAAGGAGTTTCTGGTTGATCAATCAATTACAACTTTCTTCACAAAAGCGGCTAAATTAACAAATTCACACTGAAATGGTAAAACTAAGTAACTAATCTTTCATTTGTGGGACTATTATTTCTCAACTTGGGAATCCCAAAGCTTTTTTAAGACCTCTATCTAATCGGTTGCATAAAAAATTACTAGCTATGTCTCCATTGAATAGGAGCTTCAGGTACTAAGATTTCTTACAAATACTTTGTAGTTATGACTTCTTGTTCACTGTATACATGTTTCTTTTGAACACATGAAGCTACGGTTCAATGATTAAGTCATTCAAATTTCAACCATTGTGTCTCAAGTTTGAACCCTGTTGCATCTATTTCGGTTTGGCTAACGTGGTAATCTTGCTAACTTGAGCTCTGAGGGTTTGTCCCGAACTGAAGCACACTTATTTATATTTGGTAGATGAGTTAAATAATAGATCTGTTTTAGTCTGACTGATATTTACAATGTGTAGTTCTTCGGAAGTAATTATAAAAATCTTTTTAGTATTGTTTCAATTAACTTTATTTCCGTGAGGTCATAATAGCCTTAGTTTACTTACGCCTGTTACCCCTCGTGGAGGAGCATAGGCCGTCCACAGCACTTTCTATCAAACCCTGTTCTGACCAATTCTTTCCAGTTGCTACTCATCTTTTTCAGGTCTGCTTCCAATTCCCGACGTAATGTGTTCTTCGGCCTTCTCCTTTTCCGTCATTGTTTTCATTCAATAATATTAAATAGAAATAGACATTAAATAAATTTCCAAGGCTTATATACGAACACGATTTTTTCACATACGTTCATTTTATTTCAAACAAATCAAAAATGTTATTTCTCTCACAAACTGAACTTAGACAACTATTCAGAGTCTGAACAAACTGTGACGGCTCTTTCATCCTAGTATGGGACTCCTAAGTAATACTCATCCAACCACATTGTCCAGACTCAAAACATCCGGTCTCTCATGTAAACGTTCAAATTCTAGACCATGGAGCCACATTTCGGTGATTCATATTTCGACATTCAACCAATTCGTGATATCTCTGAAGAGTCCCATACTAAAATGAAACAGCTACCTACTGTTGTTTTTTTTCTAGGTTTTTAATTGATTATCTAACTTTGATCCATTCATGATCTCAATATCATTCAACAATCTCTACAACTTCTATAATGAAAATCAAAACTGTTAACTATTCATATCTTGAATCTCATAAAAGTAGAAGTCTAGATATCCAAGGTCTTCTTTAATGGACTGTAAAATATCCTAAAACGTTTAAAGGTTAATACACTTGAATCAAATATAAACCACATAAGTAAAATCAACTCTCTAGTCTATTTAAATAATAGAAAACCTCAGTGTAATTAAACTGTACTCTCTTTCATTATGTAAAAATTATGACATTCAATTTAAGAGAAAAGTAAATTTCCCCTCTTCTTTTTCTTTTTTTCTTATTACCTCTAGTTACTCAAGAAATGTTTCACAATGGACTAATTTTCTCTGTTTATCATCATATTTTGCACATACATTTTTACTGTGTAAATTACATTGTTATGATGACAAGCTTATTAGATGTTCTAATGAAGAATCTTTGTATAATAATCGATAATGACGACTGACAGTATAGATTATTCATTCTTATCAGCTTAGTTTCAAAAAGAGAGGTTTTTTTTGTGTATGTGTATGTCAATGACAAAGATGGCTGGAATTAATAAACAATATTTTGTTTTATATGAAAAAATGGATAGTGCCTAGCAGTGGAATCTATGACGCACGTTTCGTCCTATTTGGGACTCGTCAGCTGGATGTACCTGTATCTCAGAGTTGATGTTCACTCTGTGACTCGAACTCAGTACCGCTGACTTCAAACGCCATCGCGTTATCTACTTAGCTACTGAGTCTTGATAACCACCTGCTCGTACGATGGGGTGAAGCTTAAAATCACTTGGTATTGTTTGCTTGTATCTTCCCATTGTTATTTAGGACTGCAATTAATCAGTCTTTTATTGGCATATATGCATCTTGTGTGAATTGCCTCGATGTTGCCTTAATTCACAATCATTATAAGCAAAGATGGTTATTGGCAGTTCTAAACATCAATGGAAAGATTCAAGTAAACAATACCAAGTGAATTTAATATTTTGTCGTTCTAATTGAGATCATGATGTTAGACCACCATTGAAAACTTGGAAGCACTGAACGGCCGTTTTGTTCTATTATGGGACTCCTCAGTAGTGCGCATCCCTGATCGCGCTCGCAGAATTCGGTCTCGCGCACCAACGCTTAATCTCTAAACTACTAAGCCAACCTTTATGAAAGTACACATTGATTAAACTTGATCATAATTGATATTTAGAAATGTATTCATCATTCAACTTCTGAATGTTTGGTTACCTTTCATATCATGTGAACAATCTAAAGTATACAGAAGAAATAATAGTTTTTTTTCTTTAAATAAACATTCTGATAAAATTCCGTTGTTTGTACACTTTGAGTATCAGTTTGAGACTTTTTTTGAAATCAATCTACTTAATTAATTCTTCAATTTTTAGAATTTTGCGTAGTATTATAAGAAGAAGACGAAGAAGAAGACAAAGATTATCAGAAATATGTGACATAAAGGTCAACTAGATAAATAAAAGGTAACGGAAAACAAAGATAATAAAGGAAACAATATGGAACTCATTACGCTGGACAATAAAACAAAATTACCAGAGTAATTTTACGGTGAATACATATGAGGAGTTTGCATTTTTGTATGATCAATGTTTCAGTAAACTTTAGTGTATGCCATCGAATACTTATAAAACACCGCAAAAGTTGAATTAAGATCGATCTTATAACCCGTTTCACTTGGTTCATTTGATTGTATTTGTTTTGTAACCATTTAGGTGCGGTGTTTTAGCTGTGCTAAGGTTGGTAATGCCTTATCT